GTGACATTCTCATACCTAGTTTCCACTATGCTGTTTTTCAATGATTAGGATCCCAAATCAAATGTTGATGGAGATTTTTTTAAAAATATACTCAATAGTCAGGTCCACATAGGCATCCAGTTTAAGTTGAAGTATCCTATGGTGTGGTTTTAATAGGGTGTCATACCCATTACCCCCAAGTCCTGTATATACAATGTGATGAAGTTTGTTGTATCTTGATTCAGCAGATATGTACTCAGAGTATAACACATACCAGGCTTTCTGTTAGGCATTCATTTATGTTTTAATGAATTAAACATATAGTAAATTATGTCTAATCGTGTTGTCATGAAGGAGCTCTTTCATGATGTTTCCCTCAATGGATGATGTATTTTGGATATATGGTGTCTGATATTTGTATTTCTTGAAATTACTACCATAACTTCAGACATTCACTCAAATTGTTTCACCACCACATATAAGATAAAGAACATTTAAATCCACAATTATTTTCTTCTGATTTAACCCCCAAGTGGTATTACTGGGTCAAGGAGAATGGATATGTTCAAGATATTTTGTTCTACATTGACAAATTTCTTTCCAGAAGCCTAGTTCCCACTCAAACAATATCAGTGCTCATTTCATTAGTCTTTGGCCAAAAAGTGACTTGATATTTGCTTTATTGATTCATAGTGGTTATTTGCACCACACAACTCTTTTCCATATGCAAGACACTTTCCCCTAATGGGTTTGGCCTTTTGATTTTCATTTCATATTCAGAATACGTGAAATACTTTAAATGCAAATGTCTTTCCTCTTTGGGGGTTTTAGCCATCATTTCTTAATGGGAGAACCATCTTCCCTGTTCCTCAACAAAGCTCCCACTCTGGGACTGACCAGTGGGATCCCAGGGCCTAAGCAAAACCATGGTCACAGCTTTTTATGCTTCACTGCACTATGGAGCTGAAGGGGTTTGCAGGAGCAGTGTCCTGGGCTCCGATTGGTGGATCCACATAATAATATGAAACAGAGTGGCCCATTTCAAAAGGGCAAAAATGATGCCAAGAAGGTTGAGGCAGGAACTTCAGGCACAGTTCATTGGCTGTGGGAAGATGAGGTTGGGGTATACTCCCTAAACCCGAGACTGGCAACATATCAGGAGTTGTGCCGAGTGCCCAAGGGAGTCCATTTTCTCCAGAAGTCTGAGGCTACTTGATTATAATTTCTTCTACTTATACTATGACTTTTGATTTCAAATTTAAAATATGAACTTGATTGAATTTTCATATATAAAAAATGAATCATCTTTCTATATCATTGGCTAAGTTATCCATGTATAAATTTGTAAATATTTTTTACTGGTTCTAGGTCCTGTCTATTGTCGAAAGGTAGAGGCTACTGCATGGGGAAAGTTGTAAAATTAGTCCTAGTAAATAATTAATGAAGTCATTTTAGTTCTAGGATTCTACTCTTTGATGATAGGTCATTTTGAAAAAAAAAAATCTTAATTACATTTAGGTTTGCTTCTAGAATTGGGCAACACTTCATTCTATAAAATACAAGCATTCCCTCAATGACTTTTATTTGTTGGGATTTTAATGTTTTTGCTGGTATATGCTTCCCGTGAAACTCTAAAACCACTTTATTTCAGAAACACCTAAACACAGAAAAAGAAGGGGAAAAAAAAGCTACAGAAATTGTTTAGAATGCAACATGTTTACAATATTTATTTCTTAACTTAGAAAAGAGTCATGTTTTTATAGTTAAGACATGGTTGGATTTAATCTTCCTAAACACTGGTGAGATGCCTTTATATTTATTGAAATTATTCTTCAGTATGTTAGGTATTTTTTTTTTGGGGGGGGCATTGGTGGTGTATTGGTGAATGAGATCTTTCCAAGCCTCTCTTCTGGTTTGCTATGGCTCTATACAAAAGCTGTGGTTTGTTTCCTTTATAGTGGGTCAATTTATTTCCTGCTTTCATTAATTTTGAGATCATTTTAGTTTATTCATTTGAATTTTCCAGGTACACAATCATATCATGTATAAGTAATGGTAATTTCAGTCTCTTGACATTCTAATGTTGATTCTTTTAAAAAATTCATCTTATTTGCCTTAGCCAGAATTACTAGTAAATATCAAATAGTAATGAGTTGTAACAAGCAATTTTTCTTAACCTCTTTAATTTTTTTAACATTTATTCTTGCATTCATTGAACACTTACCAAACACATTCAAACTACTAGATTCTGTGCAAAGTGATGAGGACACAAGGCAAACAGGACATAATGCCTGTCCTCCAAGAATTTTAATTGAATTGTTTTTGACTTTGAACAAACTATGCTGAACAACACTAAATAACTAGTCCAGCGATTTTGTTCCCAAGAGCAGAGCCAGCCTTAGACAGCCAGGCTTCCCATTTTTTTAACGTTTATTCTTTTTAGTTATACGTGAAGTAGAATGTATCTAGATATATCATATGTGGAGTAGAACTTCCCATTTTTGTGGTAGTACATGATGTGGAGTTACACTGGTCATGTATTCGTATATAAACATAGGAAAGTTATGTCCAATTCATTCTACTGTCTTTCCCATTCCCATTGATTTTAGATTTGTTATTAGTATTTGGTAAGATAATCATAAAACTCAGTTCCATTCATGTTCAGTTGAATCAAACTTGGTTGTGACAGATTATTATTGTAAATTTCTATGAATATTCCATATCCTACAACGCAGCTGTCAATTGCCATTTACAATGTTTATTTCTTTAAACTGGTTTTGGTAGGCATATTCCCAGGGCCCCTTCCTGGATCACTCTATTACCTAAGATGATGTATCTACAGAGAAGAGATATCATTTGTAGAAAGGGTAGATTGTAAGGAAAAGAATATCTGGAACCTGGGCATTTTAAAATCTCAGATATTCAGGTTAATATGATTATGGATGGATACTTTATGCTGATGACCAGTAGCTTAATTCAGGAAATAGTAGAGTGTGTACCTTCCTAGGAAGATTCTTTTCATATGCTCTACCCTAAAGACAATTGAAAGGCATCAGGAAGGGAGCAGGCAGGGTGAGGACCACTGCCATCTTTGGTCCAGCAACACTGGCTACTGAAGCTGCCTCCAGTCTCCCTTGTGTCTCTCCATCAAACAGGACCCAAATATTCCTCTGAATGTCCATGCACTCATGCAGTCCAGGTACTCTGCCAGTTCCAGCAAGAAAACCTCAAAAAGACACACTCTCATCAAAATGGCAATAACTGGTTTTAAGGCTGCCATGCAATCTATACAGGGTGAGGCTAAGGAAACCCGGACTCAGCTTACAATGTGTATAGAAGTGTCCTCTCCCTTCTGTGGACGATGTGATATGTGGATATGATCAGGGATGACTCCAGCAAATGTATCATCAAGAACAGAGGCAGGCTTGGAACAAAACTAACCCCACCCCTATCCCCCAAAAAAACTAAAGGAAGAGATGAGGGGGGAAAGCCCTGTGTCTCAAGTCATTCTGCATTGCTGAACCAGATTACCTGAAACTAGGTATTCTATAAAGAACAGATTTATTCTCACAGTTCTGGATGCTGGAAAGTTCCAAGGTGCTTGTGTTTGGTGAAGGCTTTTCTTGCGGCATGTTCACATGGCAGAAGGTATAAGGGCAAAAGAAAGCCAAACCCTGCAAACTTTTTTGATAGGGATAGAAGCTTCATGACCTAAACATCTCACCCAAAGACCCCACCTCCCAACACAGTTGCAGTAGGAATTAAGTTTCTATTGTAGGAATACTGGAGGATACTTTCAAACCACAGCACCCTGGATTCTGGTTTGATGAGTTCAATCACCTGGAGCCCACCGTCCTCAGGACCTGCAGACAATGAGCTATGCCTTCCCTTTCACTTTGACCAGAATAAAGTATGTTTTCTGGTACTTGTAATGAACCACACAGATTGGATAACTAGAAATTCTTCCCCAAATTTCACTGTCCTTTTGTTCTTTTTTCATTGCTGTACTTGGCAGTAGGTGTCCACATGAGCCAGAAGTCCTGATAACTTAATCAGATACCCTGCTTATTTCATAGCTTCCTTACTGAGCAGAGTGGTCATGACATTAATGACTGTCTGACAAAGTTGAAATAAAGGGCTCAGAAAAGAATCCCCAGTAGATTTTTTTTTTAAAGAATCTTTCCCCCTTCTTTTTCTCTTTTTAGAGGGACAGAAATAATGGCTCATCAGACAAATGCCTGAAGATAATTGCTCAAAACATCTAGCCTCTTGGCAGAAAGGGTTTAGATAGTGCTGATGGCCCCGGTCCAGGAAGCTGAGGTATAAGGAGCTGTGCAGTGACAGGGTAGTGTGCCTCTGAGCTGTTTTCTTCATAGAATCTAAAAGGAAGTTCCCTGCAGTATTCAGAACACACTCCATTAGGTCATATATTAATACTTCATATGACTGTGGTGACTGGACACATTGTCTTTGCAAAGTGAAGTTTGTTTATTGCTTGTGATGATCTTAACAGGCAAAATATTACATAGGGCCATCATACCTACAAGATCTTTACAAAGTGCCTGCATTGAATTGAGCATCAGAATAAACTTCACACATGAGTTTTTCTTGAGTTCTCACTTTCCCCTTCATGGGTACAGCAGAGCCACAGTCCTTCTGGGTTGGTAGAAATGGAAGCCAGTGGAGGGATATGTCCTGGGAGTTCACATGCCCTACCCTCTATCACCTCTCCTCACTGCCATCCATGTCCACACCCACCCAGGTTCACTGGGCTTAATCACAAGAGTGTATTCAGGGAAAGCAAGGGTCACGCATGTTGAAGAAAATAAGTCCTATTGCCTTTTCTTACAAAATGAGATGAAAAAATAAATTCAAAGACACTTTTTTTTAAGTGTCATTCTTCTTTCAACTTTATATATATATATATATATATATATTTATATGTTAAAGCTCTTTATTTTTCTTTTCAATATACTCTACTTAGAACTTTAAAAAATAAACTTTCTTTTTTGGTACCTCTTGTTTCCTGTGTTAACCTTGGAAACATTTAAAAATATATCTCCCTAGAACTCTTCTGTGCAAATAATAAACATAAATAATATTAATATCTACGTTATATATATATAAAAGGCCATTTCAAGGTTTTCACTGTGACGTTCTGCTGCTGTCCCTTGAAGGTGATCCTAGAAGTAGTCTGTGTCCTGTCCCTGTAAGCCATGTAAGTCCTGATCTGGCTGTGGGGGGCTGGGCAGGAACTCTCCATCCTGCTTGTCCATGTGTAAACTACTTCTGGAGAACTGGAAGACACTTCCCAGCCCACCGACCATTGAGAGGGAGGAGATCCAGTTGGGTGAACCGAAACTGGGCAGGTTGAAGAGGGACGATAGAGGGGGTTCCTGGCTGGTACTGGTGGGTTTCCTCTTGGAGTCCTCAGGACATGCTTCTAAAACAGCCTCCACTGGCCTGGAGGATCCCGGGGCCTGAGCATCCAGTCCCTCCTGCATGGTGTCCTCTCTCAATGGCATGCTTATGTCCACTGTGCTGAGCTCCCTGCTGGTCTTTAGGGAGCAGGATGGCTGCTGTGTGTTCTGAGAAGCTTCTGAGGCACAGTCCTTGGAGAGGGTCTCGGAGGGACTCATGGTCATCCCTTCCGAGAGCTCTGTTTTTGGGTCTCCAGGGAAATGTTTCTGAACTAAGATTTCTTTGGGAGTTTTGGGTTTCTTGGGAAATTTCTTGGCTGACTGGCGTGCCAGCTGAAGTTGGGTTGGGAAGAGGCTCCCCTGGAGGGCTTTGAAAAACAATCTGGAAAGAGCACATGAGAAAGAAAAAAAAAATCAGATACTGCTACAGGTACCTGTTTCCTGAGACTCTACTCACACAGGGGGAAATGCACAGCAATGCACATGCTCTGTGTACTCACTTAGGACTCAGAGACACCATCTCTGATACCCACCTGGGCAGCAATGCAGTGATAGGTGCTATGAGGCAAATCAAGTAGAACACGGGGTCTCCCAGTAATGTGTGCATGGTCCAATAAGGGTTAGATGGAGGATAACATGTTGCACAGGAAGCATTGTAAATCAAAGCCACGGTGAAAAATAAAAAGATACTAAAGACACAAGCTGTCCAGTTGAGCCAGGTCTGAAGGAAAAACAGAGAGGGGTTTTATTTCAACTTAACAGTGGCAAATAAACCCCAACAGTCATCAGTGAGTGGAGGTGATGTTCTATGATCTTAGTAAAAACTGGAGTCTTTGTCATGGGTGGCTGGTAGGGCTTAGTGAAACCTCAGAAGCTTGTGGACCAGCCTGGGACAGGGGCATAGGGGCAAGATAAGAAAACAAGACAGTGAGGAATGTTCAGAAGTGTGGGCAGTGGGCAGTCTGCTTAAAAAAAAACAACAAAAAAAAACTATATCTCATGGAACCTGCCGGAAGTGTGGGGTCTGCAACATGAGGGCCCCTTTGGGATGGGACCATGTCTGCGACTCTTACCCAGGTTCTGGTTTCAATACCCAGGTGCAGCAGGAAAGTGAACAGTGCGATTGCTGTGATGGGGGTTCCCCAAGTAAACATGTCCACATCTGAGTCATAGTAGGCCTGAAAGACAGCAGTATCCCATGTCTGTGGGTCCCCAGATGCAGCTGATGGGGAAAACTAGGCTGTGTGTCAACTTACCAGGTAAGGAATGAAAAAACAAACCAAGCTCTGGAAGGCAGCATCAACCATGTTTAACCAGAAGGCACGTGGCCGATATTCCTGGAACACAAAAACAAGCACGGAGATTATAGGGAAATGCTCATCTCTTCAAATGATGTTTTCTAGGATGCTGCAGCTCTGAATGCCAAGCATCAGACAAAAAAACTTGCTATTTAGGACTTTGGGAAGGTAAGGCTCTAGTTGGTAGATAGAACCCCATTACCCAAATGTTTGCAGAACTGTTTGTAGCTGAGTTGCTCACTGGGATCTTTTGTACCAAGAACACAGGCTATAGTAGTTACAGGTCAACAGTGAAACAGGAAACTGATTTCTAAATCTTTCTAGGGAACATTTCCCTCAAGTAGGAAGAACACTTGACATTCTGGGCATTCTCCCTGATCTGAACCCTTCCATCCCTTCCACTTTGTCCCACAGGTGTTTCTTAAAGTACATCTTAAATTTTAAAACTAGATGATGGATGTATCCCAGTGTTAAAATCAAAAAAACTCTCATTCTGATTTAGCTATGATTTGATCAAGTTGGTAAAAAGTTTAGAGGGGGACCTTTGGGACATGATTAAGAACAGATGAAGACCTCAGTGTGAATACTGATGGCTTTATAAAAAGGAGAGAGATCAGAAGAGACATAGCCACATATTTGCCCTCTGTCCCTTGCCATGTGATGCCATGCGATGCTTCAGGTTTCTGCCAGCAACAAAGTCCTTACCAGATGCAGCGCTTCAACCTTGGACCTCTAATATTGTGAGTCAAATTAGTAGACTACCTCGATATTTTGTTACAGTAGCATGAAGCAGACTCTATACCCATGGGCCAAAATGATCTTGATATTGACAAATGAAATTTTCATTACCTGGGTGATCAAATTTATATTTAACCCACCTAAGTCCTCAAATGCCTGGCATGGGCTCTGGCCTACAGGAAATGCAGAAAATCAGAAAGGAGCACATACTAGTACTTAAGAAAAGTGCTGGGTACACTCCTCCTATTGGTTACTTTACTCACAGGACAAACCTGCAGCATCTTTGCCCCATGGCTAGCCAAGGAGGCTGAGGCCAGCTAAGGAGATAACTAGTACCAAACAGAAACCTCTTCATTTGCCTGATCCAGAACCTTGACAACACTGCCCAGCCTGTCAATGTGGAAATCAAATGACCACGGAGGTGGACAGGGGAAGTTAACTTGTAAGTTTTGTAAGTGAACGAACTCTCAATTAGAGATTATTGTATGATAAACGGGGTACGGCATTCTTTTTTTAAAAAACACAGGGTGCAAACTTGCCAGAGAAGCACTTAGATGGTTTATTTGATGGCTGGCTGAGAATAGCTGGTGGTTAGTGTGTCAATCTTGTGGTGGTGCTGATGCAAACATATATTTACATCTGTTTATTCTTCCAATGGTTAAATGGTTTTCCCTATGGGTCTGTCTTCTTAATCCCATTGGATCATTTTTAAAACAAAAACAAAAAAAAAATTTTTTGGCATTCTTTTAGAAAAAATCCTATCTGAACCTCAGTCATTAGATTCAAGGATCTGGGATGGACTTTCCCTTGGGCTTTTGGAAAGAACTAGGGTGGAGATGAACTCAATATACTTAATGCATAAAGCTTTTAATATGTCGACCTTTGGGGAATGTTCAAAATCCAAAAAACATGGGGTGTTGTGGAATCTTTAGGAAGTTGGGCCTGAGAAGGAGTTCACTGGAGGTCACTGGAGTGTGCCCTTTAAGGGATGGTGGGACTCTAGTCTCTTTCTCTTTGTTTTCTGGCTTCTAATGTTAGCCGTTTCCTCCACCATGTGCTCCCCACCATTGCTACATAGCACCTCCATTGAAAAGTAATGGTTATACTTTATCTTGGACTGGAACCTCCAGACCCATGAGCTAAATAACCGTTTTCTTTTATAAGTTAAATATCTCAGGTATTTTGTTATAGAAACTCAAAGCTAGTACTATGGGGTTCCAAGACAGCATCTGTTTTTATGCTTCCATAGGCTGGATTCTAGAATTTTAACGATTTGTGCAAAGTGAATATTTAAAGGGGACTTGCACTTTCTGGAAGGTGAACATAGAAGCAAAGGGCCAGGAGACTCAGGAAAGCTTACCTCCATATTCTGGCCACTCTTGTAGAGCTGTGGCTTCAAAAGCAGCACATGGGCTGGTACATCCTTGTCCAGCACCCCAGTCACAAGCTGGGGAAGTGACGAGAATAGTAGATTAAAGAAGATTAGATACCATTGGTCAATCATTGCAGATGCAGAGAAACCACAGTAAAACTGGAACCAAAACAGGAGGCCCACGAACATCTGCAATCCAGAAAGGAAAAATGACAACAGGCGATTCTCTAGTTGTCTTTACAGTTAAATTCTGCAGGACCCTTAACTCCCTTAGATGGGAAACTGAAAAGATTAAATTGATAGGCAGCAATTCTTCCAAAGGCAGCCTAATCCTTGAGCCCTGATGTTGGTTTCTGCCTCTGACTGTCCCTCCTTCTCTTCCCCCAACCCTTCTCATTCCCTTAAACATAAGGGACTGGAAGCGGGAATTTAGAATTCACAGGAGCAGTCCTGTGAGGAGTGAAGAGCTGTATAGATCATTAGTATAAAACAAAATCAAGGTTTGACAGGGTAGTCTAGGGCTGCTTACATTTCAAGAGGGCTAATTAGCTGCAACCTGTGGCTTCTACCCAGGACTCTCCTCTGCTTATGCTCCAAACAGAACGTACATCTCTGATTTCATTTCCCTCTCTAGTCACATACCCTCTTGATGAGGAACAGCGGGCAATGATGGACTTCTGTTGAGGGTAGCACAACAGCAAAGGTCATGATAGTGATAGTTTCACTGCCAGGACAGAGCCCTGGCTATCCACTGGGCTCCCTGCTGGTGGGTGGGTATAGGTACCATCTCTGTTCTTAACAGCTGGGAAAGTGAGGTCCAGGGAGGTATATTAGTCACCTTAAGCCCATGCTCAGTAGAAGTGGGAGCTGGGCCATTCTCTTCCCACTGTTACTACATCACCGAGAATCAGCAGCCCATGGGTAACATGGGAGGCAGGGGGAACAGCAATTTACTGGTTGCAAAGTACTATATTTTGTATCTTAAAATGCCCCCAATGGCCCAGATGTTTATGGTTTGTTTGCCAGCCTGTGGTGCAACTAGGAGGTGGTAGAACGCTTGGAAGATGGGCGAGTGATGGAAGCTAGGTCATTGGGAACATGTCCCTGAAAGGATAACTGGGACCCATATCCTTCCTCTTCCTCTCTTTTGCTTTCTGGCTTCCATGGAGTGAACAGCATCCTTCGCCACACAGATGTACTCCTGCCACAATGTACTGCCTTGCCATGGGCCCAAAGCAACTCAATCAACTGACCATGGGCTGAATCTTCTGAAACTGTGAGCCAAAATAAACCCATCCTTCTCATGAGTTGTTCATCTCAGATATTTTGTTATAGTGGTGCAAAGCTGACTAACACACAGAGCACTCCTACAATCAGGAGTAACTTGCTTTTGATCCTACTGCTAGTGAGTGACAGAAATGAAACAGGAACCCCCACCCCCACCCCTGCAAACACCTCATCCACCTGCTCATACCTAGAAGCCTCTGTGTTTGCAACTGCTTCTCTGAGGCCTCACTGTGCTGGGGATTCAATTCCAGCAGGTAAGCAAAAAGGAGGAATGAACTAGCAAGGGCATGAACAGTACACCAGCTTTCCTTGGTTATAGTCCCAGGCAGACTTACTCTGAATTAATTTCCTGTACCATTTGGCACATACCATTTCATTGCTATGCTTCAGTTTCCTTGTCCACAACATGGACATAACCAATGATATTTAGCCATGGGATTGTTGTGAGTACTGAAGGACCTACAGCATTTTTAAAGCTCCCACCAAGGCCTGGCACACTGTAGATGCTCACCTGAGGCATGCTGTTATGTCAGTAGGATCACCATTTCCTTAGTTTGAGGTTCAAGCAGGGCTGGTATTCTCACCATTTATAGAAAAGGAAATGGAGCTTCCAAGAGGTGAAATAACTTGACCTTGGTCATTGTATGAGCAATAAACCCAACTTGTTCAACTTGGTTCAAAAGAGAACGTGGTACAGTGGAGGAACACTCTCTAGTGGGCACCACAAAGCCTGGGTTTGGTTCTGAAGCTGCAACTATTGACCCTTTTAACACTGACTCAGTCACAGAGTAACCTCTCTGAGCTTTGGTTTCTTGACCTGAAAATGGCTTTTTGTGAGATCAGGAGAAATTCTAGCCCATGTGGATGAAACATCTCCTCCAAGTCCTGTTTCCATCTATGGTTGAAATTTCTTACTAGGTAACTTTCCCCTTCCATGCCAACAAGGGATAAATTAGGAACTTTTCATTGACTTTCTTCCCTTTCTTCCTCCCACAGGTGACTCTCTTGCACCCACCTCCACAGGCTCAGCCTAATGAGTCATCCTCGAGCAAATGGAGTCAAGGAAAAGAGGAAGAAAAGTACTTAGATAATTGAGTTTTTTTTTTTTTCCTGTACTACCAAAGAGCTTTGTTCACAAACCACTGTTACCATGGAAACACTTTTTCTTTGCTCTTTATTGGGAAGGAAGGCCAACTTATTCTTAAAACTAATGAATCTCTCATGATAGAAAGCAGAGTGATTCTACTTAACTCCTTCTGTAGACAAATGCTTGTTGACAAAGGCCCTTCATCTTAGATGGAATAGAAACAGGTGCCACTTTGCCCTCCCTGGTCCTCCAACAAGGACAGGTTCATCAAGACAAGCAGGGGGTTTTGCCCATCCTAAGTGGCCACTCTGACTTTTGTTTGCATTTAAAATGTTGAGTGGCTTGGCCTATGTCTTTGTTGCTATTCTCTTAATCTGAGAAATTTTAATTGGGAATTAAACTGAGATTGCTAGCTGAATTCCCAAAATGAATTCCCAAAATTCCCCAAATTTTCCCCCTCCTCGAGCCCCCAGAAAAAAACACCCAAAGAAGGCAACTACAGATGGTCCTGAACCTACCATGGTTCAACTTAGCATTTTTTTTTTTTTTTTTTTTACGAAAATGATGAGAAAGCAATATGCCTTCAGGAGAACCTAACCTTAAATTTTGAATTTGGATCTTTGCCTGGACTAGGAATACGTGGTCCTATCTTCTCAAAATGCTGGGCAGTGGCTTTGAGCTGGAGCTCCAATCAGCCATGAAATCACAAGAGGAAACAGCAAAAGCTCTGCAGTGTGCTGTGCAGCTAAGCTATGATGTTACATAGGTTAGGAGTATTCAGTGTGTTTTCAAATTGGGATATTTTTAACTTGCAGTAAGTTTACTGGGAGAGTTACTCCATGATATGCTTAGGAGCATTTGCAACTTGCTATTGTTCCTACTGCTAGTGAGTGACAGAAATGAAGCAGGAACCCCCACCCCCACCCCCGCAAACACCTCACCCACCTGCTCACACCTAGGAGCCTCTGTGTTTGCAACTGCTTCTTTGAGGTCTCACTGTGCTGGGTTTCAATTCCAGCAGGTAAGCAGAAAGGAGAAATGAACTAGCAAGGGCAGGAACAGTATACCAGCTTTCCTTGGTTATAGTCCCAGGCAGAACTCTGAATTAATTTCCAGGCCCAAACCTATCCAATTAGACATGCCCTGATTGGTTCTGATCATCTGTATTCATTTGCTAGAAGACATTTTGAAAATCAGGAAAGAGTGAGTGGGTGGGAGAGGATGGGAATGGAAAGATAGGCGTCAGCCTCCGGAACAAACCATTATGAACATGAACAAAGGGTATGCTGATGTCAATTTAAAGTTACCATGGAGATTTCAAATGGAATTAGAAAAATATATACTTTTTAACTTATTTTATTCTTTTTCAGAAGACTACAGGATAATCTTGACATTGGATTTTTGATGTCTAGACAGCTAGATTTTTGTATTTACCCTGGAAGGTCATTTGTCCCAAGAGTTTGTTTAGTACTTGTTATACTGGGTGTAAGCGCTCAGAGGCAGGACCACTGAGCAGCAACCTAGCAACTTTTCAGCAGAGTATCTGGAAATCTTTCATCAGTGGGGCAGGATTCTGTGACAGTCTTGTGATCCATCCTGCAGGACTATGTAGAAGACTAAAGACTAAAGACTAAAGACTTAGCAGTGAAGGAACTAAGATGAACATTAAAATTCAGATGAAATGGATAAAACGGGGCACTGTAGTCACTCCCTAGACAGAAAGAATGATCTGCAGCCTATCTGGCCTGGGCAAGACTTCACTGAAGGGTCAGTTTAGCTATAGACAGAGCTGGCCACTAGGGGGCGTGTCAGCCCTGCAAGCCCAGGCAAGTGTGGTGGCCCCTTTCCTGCCTGGCCTAAATCTGTACAGCTTTGACCTGGAGACTCCCTGACAGGCCTGGGATGGGTGTGTCTCCAACAGATACAATTGAATACGGGACCAAGTAATTGAATAGTGTGACCAAGTAACCTTATGATCCCAAGACTACCAAGCACACTTCTACTAATTCTTTGATCTTCCCTATCTGCTCTAGAGAAAGTAGGGTGTCTATAATAGAAGCACACTCCTGAGAAGCACATATACAAAGTGACTCAGATTCCAATATTCAGTCACATGTGGACCCTCTTGTTCCCAGGACCTTCTCCCTCAGAAGTGCAGCTGCTCTCATGTGCCCATGAGTTGGTTTTCTGAGCTTACAGGATGCAAATCCAGACAAGGACTGGAGGACTGAGGGACATTCACAGAAGCTAAGGAGGATGGAATGACAAGAGGCCCCGGGGTGACTTACAGGTCTCATTTAGGTGATGATTCTAAATATGCCAGGCCTTTTAATTAAGAAACTCTAAAGACCAGTATCTAATACCTACTGTGTTTTTGTAGAAGAAATACAGCACCATGTTGGCCAGTCGGGAGTAGCACCAATGTCCATGGACAATTAAGAGTCTCTCCAAGTATCGGAATCTTGGCACTGCAAAGTCACTGGCCATCACTGCCTTGAAAGGGAGAAGAATTCCCATTATTGGTGATGCCTCACACAGCCTAAGGTCTGTCTCACCTATCCCAAATGCAAGGCAAAATATGGAAGGAAAAATCCAGCTTCAAACACCGTTAAGTGTGACTTGACCACTGTCTCCTTCATCATCTCTTTTAATTAAAAATGTTCAATCTCAATAAATCAGGGATATCACTTTACAGGATTAATTTAAGGCTTCAAACATTAGATATGTAACTGATGAGTTTAAAAAGATTTTGCCTTTTTTTAAAAAATAAGTCCCTGCTGGGTTTTTTTCTCCTTTATTTATTTTTGATTGGTGATTTATGAATATACATAAAAGTGGAATTAACTATGACATTATTTATACATGCACATAGTTCCATGCTATCTTTTAACAACCCACAAACTGCAGATGCATGGAATTTTCCCACTTTTCTCCATCCCTGGATGTCATATTCCTCTAAACCACACCATGATCTCAACCCAAAGATCAACCAAAGTTGTCCTTTTTGTTTGGCCACCCTGAAAGTACATTTTGCTTTATTCTCCCCAGAAGAATAGTCATTTTACTGTATTATTTAATAAAAATTGACAAGAAAATATCTGTATATGTTTAGCACACACACACAAATCCAAATATTTACCATTCCATTATTTGAATCTGCAGATGAAGAACCCGTGGATATGGAGGACCAAAGGTAAATCTATCTTGGACCTAATCTCAGGAGTTCCTCACCCTCATCTGACTTCAGTCACTATTTTGCTACTTGTACAATTTTCTTCCTCCAGGAAGTTTAAAAAGAAATAAGTTTGACTTACTTTTGCCTATTCACGATGTCCAGCACAGCACCATGCAAATGGTGGAAGCTCAAGAAACATTTGTTGGGGGAGGGTGGGGACCATGGGTGGAATGAAGGAATTTTGGATTGGTGAAAGGGGAGGGAGTGTAACAGGGGGGAATGTGGGTATGAAATATGGTGGAATGAGATGGACATCATTACCCTAAGTACATCTATGAAAACACAAATGGTGTGACTCTAATTTGTGTACAACCAGAGAAATGAAAATTTGTGCTCCATATACATATTATGAATTGAAAAGAATTCTGATGTCAAGTATAACAAATTAGAATAAATAAATTTTAAAAAAGAAACATTTGTTGATTGAACAAAATGAATAATTTTTTTAAAACTTTTTCAGCATTTCTCTGTTTTCACGATTTCTAGTAGTGAAGACCTGACTAGGGCAGTGCCTGTCAATCTTACATGCAGAGGAAACTCTTTGTATTAAAGACCCTAATGTTAAGCAAGTGTCTGGGGAGAGGACACAGCTGCCACCACTGCTCCTTTACTCAAGGTAAAGAGCACAAGCCTCCTCTATGGGGATCTCTGACTCAAATCATGTGAGCAGTGATGGAACACCTGAGCCATAGTGCATTTGCCTCGAAATGCAGCTTTGGGAAGGTGTAACTTCTAGGTAGAGTGTTGCTGAATGCTTCCATATTTATATAAGCTACTTTCTAATTTTACATACTGATACTTCTTACAGTTCTAAGTGTTCAGGTTTACAGGTGAATATGACCCTGTGTCTTGCATTTTAGTCCAGTAAATGAAGGGAAACTATGCTGAATCCTTGCTGTGGTGGCAGCAGCATCAGAGGTTGGGGTGGAGCCATTGAGGATAAGCAAGGATAATCAGCAGTGGAGAGGGCAATAGAGATATGCATCTCTGAGATGCTTGGTCTTTGTGGGCTTACTGGTCCACCATATTTGTGGAGCAGCCCCTGCAACCAAGTCCTGAGTAAGAACTAAGATTACAGAACAATCACAACGTCTACCATCCTGGTTTTAGTGGAATTTCCAAAATAGCTCAGAGGCATTTGCAAAGCCACTTTAATAGAGGGATAAACACTGTATTTATTGATAGATTTGGGGGTAAGTAGGAGGCCAGAAGGCTGGGGATTCAGGTGGGCTACCTTAGCTCTAAACAAACAGGGTTCCTTCTCCAAAGACAATTTAGAAGTCTATCTTGCAGTCCATGGACCTATTTTGATTTCTAGATGGTACTGGGAATTGAACCTCGGGGTCTTGCACATGCTAGGCAAGGGCTCTACCACTGATTTATATCTCCAGCCTCTTTCTGTCCCTTTTGACAGAGTGTTTAGACTGACTCCACTGAGGACAGGATTGTATCTGATGGACTCTGCATCTTTAAGTCTGTACCTGACAAAAGTGAGGTCTGAATGAATAATTTTTTTGAGAGAATGAATAATGGAATAAATGAATTAAAGAACACATAAAGCATTTAAACCCTTACATATCGACGGGAAGTGGTTTAGAGATATTTGCTTTGAAGTCTTTAAGAATTGGTTTAGGTAACTGATGATCTAAGTTTGTGAACTTTTCAATCTTCTATAGTCAGTCTTCCTATTGTGATTTTTGCATATGCAGACTTAAACAACTGGAGATGGAAAATATTTTGGGGAAAAACTGCATCTGTACTGAAAATGTACAGATGTTTTCTTGTCATTATTCACTAAACAATGCAGTATTTACAGCTATTTACTTAGCATTTACATTGTACTAGGTATTAGAAATAAGCTAGAGATGATTAAAGTATGGGAGAGAATTGTGTAGATTACATGCAAATATTACACCATTAATGTAAAAGATTTGGTCATTTGTAGATTTTTGTGTTMACTGGGGATTTTGGAACCAATTCCCCATAGACACCAAGGTGTTTCCAACTAGAGACCTTCCATCTGACTGTTATTTTTACATCAAGAAAGAAAATGAATGATCTCTGCACAGGCCTGGCACATAGTAAGTACTTAATAAATAACTGTGATTTGAATGAATGAATGAGTGAATGATTTAACCAACGAATACATGGTGGCCAACATCCTGATTTTTAGAAAAACATTCAATAAATGGTTTTCAGAAGTCTCCACTGAATTAAAAAATGTTATAATTCAAATTTGATCAGATGCAGGAAATTGTCATAATACTGTATCCAAAAGAAACACATTTTTAATTAACTCATGTGTTCAACTTCTGGAACACTGAGAACTGACACAGTGACAAATGAAAAATGCAGAGCTGCATTTCCATGGGAGTCAAGGTGGCTACCTTCCAATTTTATGGTGACACCAGGTTTCAACAGCACTACAGCAAAGGCCATTTTTCAAATGCTATCACTAGTGTTTGGGAACAGTAAATAAGTGCTTCCTAGGGATGAGCCATCAAGAGCCAGGGAGAAAGCAATGACTCACTTTGCCTCTCTCAGAACCTCTGATTCCCCCAAAATATACTCTGGTAGACACAGGCAGATATGTTTATGGCACGTTGTTTCATAAATACGGAGAGTGACATTCCACCTCATCTTCTCCCTCTGGCTTAGCAGAAGGTGAACATCAGGTGTACTGAAGCCAAATCCCCTAGCTTCATGAGACAGCCCAGGGGAAATCCGGGGAAGCTCATGGCAAGACAGTATAAGAGGCCAATGGAGGCCACTTGGTGCCTAGGGACAGCGCCAACTGGTCTTTACCTGCATGCCCTCCTGGCCTGATATGCCCACACCCACGTCTGCCACCTGGATCATGCTGACATCATTGGCTCCATCACCTAGAAACAGCACAGGTGGGAAGAATCATTTGAGATGAGATGTGCAGAATCTAGTGGACCTGATGGATCTTCTTGGGGTCCCCACTGGACTGAGTCCTGTGAAATAGTATTAGGGAAGATCAGGGAAAAGAGTACAGCACCTTCCCTGGGAGAACTGAGTTAAGCAGTGGGAGCAAACCATAGTAAGACATCTGAACTGTCAGCCACACCAGAAATCAGGCTCGTACCGAATTACCTTCTAATTTAGTGTTCCCTTTTCAATGTCAGTTCCTACAGAGCCCTTAATATATGTTGGGTACAATGAAAGATGCTATCATTTCATCATTATTATAGTTACTCAACTACTGCAGCCAGGTAGCCAAGGCTACTCCAAGTCATACTCTCCCAAGCAGTTTTCAAAACAAGGTGAAGAAGTGTACACCATACAGCTCTTTTTGCATATTGATAACCAGCCAGCATATTAACTAATGTGTGTACCTTGCGGCCCATTTATTTTATCAAGTTGCTGATAGACAAATGTATAGGAACACATGGATAAGTTGGGCCCCTCAACACCTTTAGGAAAGGACAAGCAGGGACTTAGAGTGATTATCACTCAGTAACAGTGACCTTTCTTGAAACTGGGAAGCAGAACAGCCCAAATCACAGCATATATTTCAAGCTATACTAATAATAAAAGGTGCAGATATACAAATTTGGAATGTTACATAATATGGAAAGTCACCACCACTGTGTCACTGGAGAAGAACCTGGAAGGTTCTCCAGGCCAGTAGAACCTGCAAGGAAAAGTTCCATGATATACACAGTCAATCCTTAAGTCAATGATGTAAAGTAGTATAGCCATTTATATCTGATAATGGATTTATTTAATGAAATGATTGTCTTAGAACAGTCAGCACAGTTGAGCTATGGGAATTCTGATCATCACTCGTCTGGGTCCTTAAAGCATTGTAGAGCCTTGGACCCCAGCAGCCGCATGGAGACCAGAAACCCCTGCCCCTGTCTCTTCCCTCTTTCTTAGTTGGCCTGGGTTAACACTGATCATGTAGACCCCTCACTTTTTCCAGGACTGCCTGGGACAGGCAGGTCTCTAATGTTCTGTCTCCCAAGAAACAGTGTAAATACCATCTTCTAAATTAGCACTGTACTACCAACTTCATGACATGTACCGGTACCTACCACTATATTTTGTGGCTTTCCATTGTAAATTCTTATATCTGGAACATGTTGCTCACTTTATCACATAGAGTATGATTTTATAAATGAAAAACAATGAAGAGAAATGCTTTTCCCATGTTATGGTTTTCCAAGGGAGAGTATTAGATAGACCTGCCTGGTCAGCCTGGATACTTGCCTATTGCCAGGGTCATGGCCTTCAGCTTGCTTCTGACCAGCTTTACCACCATACTTTTCTGCAGAGGGGTTGACCGACAGCAGAGAACTGAGCGGCACTGCTTGGCGAGGAAAAGAAATTTGTCCTCCAGGTTTTTCTCAAGGGCATAGGCCAAACTTCTTCCATCAATCACAAGGCTTGGGCTGGGGCCAGAGACAGTGGGTGTGGTGGAGGCCAGGTACAGAGGGGAGAATCCCACATTCACAGAGCTTTCGGTCTTCTCAGGGGGCCTGTGGGAACCCCTGGACTGCACGTGGTGCAGACACTGATCCAGCAGGGCTGCACAGGCTTCCTGAAACAGACAGGAGACGGCAGCAGTTCACTAGGGACCACACCACAGACCCAAGTCACCTGCCTCAACATATCTGAGCTGATGATCCTTCTAGGACTCCAGACTGGAGTATCTGGCTGCCTAAAAGGCTGCCCTCCAGAAGCTGAATGCAGCTGAAGAGCATGACTTTCAGCACAAAAGAGAGTGCACCACGTTTCTGTGAAATTGTAGTTTATCACCCATCACACAGTGAAAAGTTCTGAATGGAGTATCTTCACTTGGAGACATTTGGCTGTATTTGTAGCAACTTAGGGTGAGGATCCCCACCTGCATGTCTCTATACTTCCCTGAGGCCCTGGCCTAACTCTTCTTCTTTCCTTCTAAGCTACCAAGAGTTGGATGAAAAGCTCTTTCAAAGAACTTTGAAAGAGTTTTAACCTTTAGAATGATTAACCCCTAAATATGTTGTAATTATCAGTGTTCTTTCCAATTCCACGAGGAAAAGAAATTTAATAAATCATAATTATTGAGGTTTTTAATTGGCTGTGTCCTTCCAAACCTGGATCTGAATTCGAGAGAGAGGAGGAAAATCTACATTAGGAATCAGGGACAGGAATGGAGCCCCAGAAGGGACGATTACTTCTGGGAACAAACACAATGGGAGGAAGTGCTGAGTGACTCCTGGTCCTCCATAGTGAGCTACTGGCTTAGGGATCAACTCCTGGCAACATACTATGGAAATCCAATTGTGTTCAACCAATGCTTATCAAAGACGTATTGTATCCAGAAAACAAAAGCAAGACTAGAGGAAAACAGAACGAGAAAGGATAGTTAAAGGATAGTTTTTGCCTCTTGGATGAGAATCAAGCAGCTAGTAACACAAAAACTCATGACTCTAGCAAGTCAAAGACGGGCATGCTCAAAGCTGATATTGGAGATGTGAAAATTGGAGTTGGGGAAATATGCTTCTAGGATGGATAGAGGGACATGGTGGTAACTGGGGAGGCTTTGAAGCACTTTGAATTTCTTGGTCCTAGCACAAAGCACTATTCTAGGCAAAGTCTAGGTAGGATGAAACAAACACTCCATCCATCTCATCTCTCCCTTGAATGCACTATTATAACTGGAAAGAATGCAAAAAGAAACTATTTGTGAACTCTGAAAGTAAAAAGTAAATAGTAGCAATTAGATTGGGGAAAGACTAACACGCTAAGGTCAGGGAATGGGTATTGGGTTTTCCATCTTTTTTTTTTTTAATATTGTTTTAGTTGTCAATGGACCTTTATTTTATTTACTTACATGTGGTGCTGAGAATTAAACCCAAGGCCTCACACATGCTAGGCAAGCGCTCTGCCACTGAGCCACAACCCCAGCCTGAGTTTTCCCTTTCTTTTTATTTATTTATTTATTTATTTATTTATTTATTTATTTATTTATTTATTTATTTTGGTAATCCCTGCATGGCCCGAGTTACCAGGGAACTTGAAATGGGTATCAAGGATAGAGGACAGAGGACAGCTCCAGGAGAAGCCCCCTGGTTCTGGCTTGAGGAGAAAAAAAACCCAAAAAACAAAGAAAAGACAAGGAATACCTAATGCTCAGGGAAGATGAAGAAAATCTCCACTTTTATGTGTTTATTTTTCCTCTCTTCTTTCCAACACAGTCTCAGACGATTTTGCGATGGTGCACTGACAGGAATAGCGCTATCAGTGGGACCATCTCCTGTCAAAGACTGAGGGAAATGAGCCTTTTTTTAAAATCACAGAACTGTGGTGTCAAGAGGACATGATAACTTCTGCCTTTATTGTTTCTGTCCTACCTTGGATGCAGGTGGAGGTGTGGGAAATAAAGGGCAGAATAAGGCAGCTCAGACACCAGTCTTCTAGCCACAGGACTGAATAGGGGAGTCCCTAGGGAACCAGAAAGTACTGGAAAGACTGTAAAGAGGGATTTGGCTAACTGATCCCATAATGTTGTTTATGAATTCCTGGGTTCATCCATAAGCTGTATACACATGATAATAACCCTAAATGTAACAATGCCTTTGAAAATTAAACTCTGGCACAGACTGCCACCCTAGTTCCAAATTGACCTCTGGAGGGTAAAAATACAGATTCTAAGAGGGATGCTAAGAGCACAACAAAAGCTAAACAAATTTACCACTGAATCCAACACCTGGAAGCTGTTCAGGTGTTGATCATCTGTTGATCAGACACACACACACACACACACACACACACACACACACACACACACCAAAATCTGTATCCTCCACAGAAATTAAAAATAACAAGAGGTTCATAATATAGTATTTAAAACACCCATGATATAATCCAAAGCTTCTCCATGTTCAAAGAACCAGGAAAACATCAGATTATGGTAGAAAAAGACAACAGAAGACAGCAAAGATGCTGAAGTGATCTGACAAGAGCTTGAAAACAGCCATTATAAAAATGTTCCAAGAAGTAAGCATGAACGTTGTGAGGTGAACAGAAAAACACAAACCAACAAAAAAAACAAAACCATAGACAACAAATGGAAAGACCAAATAGAAGCTTTAGAATCCCGAGTGCATTAACCAAAATGAAAAGCTCACTGAATTCTAAACAATTTACATAGCTACTCTGCCCTCCAGGAGGCAGGCTGTAAGTCCACACTCCTTAAGGGTGAGTTCTACATAGTGATTTCCTTCCTGAGAGCTCAGCATAGAAAAGGGCACAAGAATAAGTTTACAGTGACAAACCTGACAGACACCAAGTCAACATCACAGTGATATCACAGTGATGTGATGTGATGAGATGAAAATGGGACTTTATGTCCTTGTGCTTCCCAAACTCCACTCTAGTCAGAGAGAAAACATCAGACACATCCCATTATAGTGACACTCTATAAGATACCTCGCCAGGAGTCTTCTTCAAAACTGCCAACGTCAGCAAAAACAGAGTATAAGAAACTGTCACAGCAAAGAACAGTCAAGGAAGACATGATAAATAAAGTAATATGAGATCCTTGGGGCAGAGAAGGGACGTTAGGCAAAACTACGGCACTCTGCATGTAGTGTGGACTTCAGTAAGTAATAACAGACTAATATTGGTTCATGAATATAATAAACGTACTAAGCTTGTGTAAGTACATCAGAGACAAACTGGGTGTGGTTATGCGTACTCTCTGTAGTCTTTCCAACTTTTCTGTAAATACAAACACATTCTATATACTAAGCTAATTTTAAAAAATTCACCAAATGGGCTTAGTAGTAGAAAGAAGGTAATAGGAAAATTTCAGTGAATTCAAAGATAGATGAATAGGAATTATTCAACCTGGACAACAGAGAAAAAAATTAAAAAGAAAGAAAAACAAAAGCAAAGAAATCCTCACGACCACTGAGGCCATATCAAAAGACAGAACATTCACGTCAACCAGGTACCAGAAGAGGAAGACAAAGTACAGAAAAGACATTGAAGAAATAATGGCTGAAAAGACCTCCAACTTGGTAAAAGATCTGAGAAGATAATCAGATCCCAGAGTATAAATCAAAAGCAAATCATGTTGAAACACGTCATAATCAAACTGCTTAAAACAGAAGACAAGGATAAAGTCTAGCAGCAGCTAGGTAAAAACAATTCATTAGTTCAAAGATAACAGTGATTCAAATGACTATGATTTCGTATTAGAAACTATGGAGTCTGGAAGGAGAAATATTTTTCACATGTTAAAAGAAAAGAACTGCCATTTCAATTTTCTGTATGTAATGAAAATATCCTTCAGGAATAAAGATGAAATAAAGAATGTTCTTCAAACAAAAGGGGGATCGTGCCACAAGGCAACTTGGGAAGTCTTGTTTGTTGACCCCTAATATACAAGAATTGAGCCACCCCTTTTACAACCAAATGTCATTGGCATTTGTAGAAGACACCACAAATGGATCATGCAAGCATTCTTTCCAAGGAACATAACAATTGCCAAGAGAGAACATACTGTGGGTCATTAAAAAGAAAAACAGGCTGTTGCATGCCTGTAATCTCAGGGATTCAGGAAGCTGAGACAGGTAGATCACAAGTTTAAGGAAAGTCTGGGCAACTTAGTGAGACCCTGCCTCAAAATAAAAACTAATGAGGGCAGCTGGGGTTGTGGTGAAGTGGTACAGCGCTTGCCTAGCATGTGTGAGGCACTGGGTTCAATTCTCAGCACCACATATAAATAAATCAATGAATAAACTTAAAGCCCATCAATGTCTAAAAAAAGGATTTATCCACCCCCCTCCAAAAAAAAGAAAACTAATGAGGGCTGGACATGTAGCTCAGTGATAGAATATCCCCAGGTTTGATCCCCAGTATGGCAAAAAAATAAAATAAAATAAAAATAAATTTCAAAAAGTCAAAACCGTAAAATGCAAGCCCAGCCACAATGGAATTAAACTGGAAATCAATAACAGCAAGATAGGAGGAAATTCTCCAAACACTTGGAAATGAAAAAACAAAAACCATAATGCTTGTAAATAATCCATGAGTCAAACAGGAAGCCCTAAGGRAAAAAAAAAATTAAAAACTGTCTTGAACTGTATGTAAATGAAATCACAGCTCTTTAAAATTGTGAGATGCAGATAACAGTGCCTACAGAAAAAATTATAACCTATATTGCTTATATTAGAAAAGAAAAATGTTCTCAAATCAGTAACCAAAGAATTCATTTTGAGAAACTAGAGTAAAATAAAAGCAAAACAAGCCAAAAAAAGGAAATAACAAAGAGCAGGTATCAATAAAACAGAAAACAGAGAGGGAAATAAATCAATGAAACCAAAACATGTCCTTTTAAAAGGTCAATATAATTGATAGGCTAGTACCAAAACTGACCAAAATAAAAGAAGCAAATTACCTATATCATAAATTACTGATCCCACAGACATTAAAAGATAATAGGGTAATGCTATGAACAAGTGACTCTCAGTGTCAGTGTTCTGAGGTCTTGACAGTTGAAGCTCTGGATGTGGAAGTGAGAAAGGAAGGCCGAATCTGTGTATGAGTCCCAAAGAGACTGTGGAGCCTTCACCACCCTGAGAAGGCCAGGGAAAAATGAAGTGGATACAGCGAGACAGCTCGCTGCTCCATCACAAAACTGTGAGCCAGCATGAGAACATCCTTTGAGGGGAGCTCAGATGTGGAATGAGAGCCTAGATTGTGACAGTACGTGAAGTAGATACTTGCTACATACTTGAGGATTTAAACAGATACATGTGACCTGACAACAAAAATGTTTAATGCCTGTTGGGGCATCCAGGAGACAAGTTAATAATCCCAGGGAAGTCAGTGCTATCCTGACCCCACTTTTTACATACTTAACCTCATAAAAAAAATTCTGATATTGTCAACAAGAGTAGTATGTTGGTAAAAGAGGCTGCACTTTGGATAATGGTCCATCACATTCTACCATTATCCAAAGGACGTGTGTGAAGACACGAATTATTGTGGACATACTTTATATACAACCAGAGATACGAAAAATTGTGTTCTATATGTGTAATAAGAATTTTAATGCATTCTGATGTCATTTATGTAAGAAAAAAAATCAATAAAAAAGAGGCTGCACTTTGCACTAGCAAAACTCAGATGTGTATTCCTTTGACGCCAAGAAACTCCAGCAAATGCCACATCTTCCAAGGCAATGACAAGCACATCTTAAGTCCCAGAAACATGACACAGGTGCTAAGAGGGATATATAGTGGGCAAGGGTCCTTCTCACAGTAGTTGACAGAATGGAAGCTTTCCAGGTGGTCTTCCTCCAACAAGAGTCCTGCTATGGTGGTCCCACAGGACACAAGGCCATCCCAAGAGGAACAAAGGTTTCCTGAAATCCACCTACCTGGGATTCGGCGTTTAGCGTGATGACTTCTTCATCATGGTCCAGAAGTTTGCAGGCATATGCAATGTTAATGGCTGTTTCTTGTTTGTCACCAGTGAGAACCCAAATCTGTAGGCCTGCTTGACGCAATTTAGTGATAGTTTCAGGGACTCCATCCTGTAGGCGGTCTTCGATTCCTGTGGCACCTGGTCAAATGGGCAATGGTGTGAGTGAGCCCTCTCTTCACATGTCTCCAACTCTTGATGGGATTCAAATCCCACACACCAAATACACCAAAGACAGGTGACAGCACAGTCCCTATTGACTGGGAGCTGCTCGGGGCTCAGCTACCAGTTGCATCTGACATCTAATGGCAGGAAGTGCCTTTTGGAAGCACACATTGATGATTCACCACTCCAGGGCAGTGGTGGACGCTTGTGATAGCTCTCTTGATATGACTCAGTCAAGAATGTGTAGGAGGAACAAACAAAAAGGAACACTGAGCATAATTGTGTATACTTACAGCAAAGAACCTTGAATTCTTTCTGACTATCAGGCAGCTAACTTGTAACTTTACAGATAGCTTGAAAACAAACCTCATGGTGAGGTGATAGAAATGACCATATTTTGAGGGATTTTTTTGTTTTTTAAGTCTTAGAAATTACCCCTCCCATGGAAAGCTTCTAGTAAATGAAGTTCACATGTTTGTTCTCAATAGTATTAACCATTTTCTATCAAAACAGATGGCAAGGGCAGGCACATTATTTAAATCTTGAAACCAACCTTATCCTGAAAAAGAATTTTTTTTTGCACAATCAAAAAATTAAGAGGTAGCCTTATTGGTCTCACCATGTTAGGAAAAATACACTATAGGTTGTATATCCCTAACCAGAAAAATATGAAATCCAAAATGCTCTAAACTATAAAACCTTATGAATGCTAACATGATGCCACATGGAAAATTCCACACCCATCCTCAATATGACAGGACACAGCCAAAATGCAGGTGCATTAGAAATAATATAAGAGATTATCCTCAAATTATACGTATAAGGCATACAGTATAAAAAACATAAATGAATTTCAGTTTTCATCTTGGGTCCCATCCCCAAGATATTTCATTATGTGCACATAAGTATTTCAAAACTGAAAAATACTTAAAACCCAAAACACTTTGGATCCCAAGATTTTGGATAAGGGATGCTAAATCTGTATTCAGTGCAGAAATGTGCTTGGGCCTGTCTCCATTTTTTTTCGTGTTTTAGCTTTCTTTGCTGCATTAGAAGTGAGCACTAGCCCAAGTACTCCTGGGCTGTAGCCCTGGCTGAGGGCTCTTAGCCATTCCTGCTTCAGTCCTTCATGACACACTGTTCCCTGTGCTGGGACACTACTATGCACTCCATGTCTGTGTCCCCCACCTACCCGGATTCACAAGTTGAAGCACTAATTCGCAATGTGATAGGGTTAAGAGATAGAGCCTTTGGAAGGTGATTAGGTTTAGATGAAGTCATGAGGATGCAGTCCCTGATGGCATTAGTATCCTATTTTAAAAAGGTACCAGAGAAATCATCTCTCTTTACTATGTGAAGACACAGAGAGAAGGCAGCTGTTTGCAAACCAAGAGAGCCTTCAACAAACAATGGATTTGCTGGTGCCTTGATCTTAGACTTCCAGCCTCTAAGGCTGTAAGAAGTAAACATTTGTTTACTTAGACTGGGTGGCTTAAACAATGGTCAAAACAAATTAGGATGTTCTTGCCCTTTCTTCTCCTAGAATGAACAAGTTGGCAGGCATAGGAAAGGGGAAGACAGAATCAAGGTAAAATATACAATATTTCTTAAATATACATTTGGATATACTTTTAAAGAATCACACACTTATGTAACCAGCCCTAAGCTCAGGAACCAGAATGTCACCAGCCCCTCAGAAGCCCCTTGGAGGGAAGTGTGGCTGGTCTTTGCTCTTGCAGCTCAAGTAACCTATGAAGTAAATCAGATCTGCCTCCCACTCTATGGATGTACTAAAAGTCTAAGTGGGAACTTGCAAAGGGTCCAGAAAGGAAGAAAAGACATTTTACCAAAGCTCTACTCTTATTTGAATCTTAAGAGTTCCCATAGGAAGGAGACCAGGCAGAGTATGGGGCCTGAGACCTGCTGGGGAATGAAGCCACATATGTTATGCTCTGTGCTCACTGTGAGCATACACCTGGCCACTCAGGCACTAGAAAGGCATTTGGTCTTGGCCTCTCTCCCCACCCCAAGTCCTCTGGATCTAGCAGGAGGAAAGAACATGTGTGGCCTGAGTCTCTGAAGGGTCATTCTTTCTGTGATATATTCCTTGACATCTGAAGAAAGAGGGAGGGATGACTTTACTTGCCTCCCTATATCACAGAACCTCATTTATACTTAATGATAAAAATAATGATTATCTAGTAATCATAACAATAGCCAACCATGATGGATTACTGTTAGCTAAGATAATGCTTCTCCTACAGTGCTTGTTATGTATACAACTTGTTAAAGTTTACATACTGAATGTCCCCAAAAGGGCATGTGTCAAAGACGTGGTCCCCAGCCCATGGTGCTATGGAAAAGTGGTGGGACCTTGAAGAGTTTATACCTGCTATTAGAAAGGTGTGCTCTTAAAGGGAATACTGGGACCCCAGCCCTTTCTTTTTTTTTTTCTTTTCATTTTTTACTTCTTGGCCACCATGAGGTGAGCAGTGTCCTCTGCCATGCACTCCCACCAAGATGTACTGCTTTGCCACAGGCACAAAGACAATAGGCCAAGCATCCATAGGCTGAAACCTGAAACTATGAGCCAAAATAAACCTTTCTGCCTTCTAAGTTGATTATCTCAGATATTTTGTCACAGCAATGGGGGAAGTGATTAATACATAACTCAACCAGTTTTGTACCCTTCACTAGATCACAACTTCCTGCAGAAAGAGCCTGGTATCCCCCAGCTGCTCAGCAAGGGTGCCTCAGTACAATATCTACCAAGATAGAAAGCAGGGAAGGTCTGTGCAGGTAAACTGCAGTCTTGAAGGAGTTTTCACCTATTCAGGGAAAACCTAACACCTTGAAAATATAAGATCTTTTATTTCAGTAACTAATTGACCTTAGTAAAGGGATTCTTCTTGGGTCACTCCACAGACCTTGCCTATACAATCTGCTGGTTTGAATCAAGCACAGAATAGTAATACAAGGAAAGTAATATATTAGTATTAGAGTTAGAGAAAGTATGCCCACCTGGGCATCACATATGGCTGAGGAAAAAAGGGCAAAGCCCTTTTAGAATGATCTGAAGTCTAGTGTCTCTCTTCAGCATTCCAAGGTAGCCTGTTTGCAATATAATTTATGTGACTTTGACTAAATGCCACCTTCTTTACAATCTGACCCTTGGGAGGGCCTGACATTTCTAAGTATTGTAACGTGGGTAATTGGTAGAGTTTGGAGTGAAGTTAGTGCTGTGCCAAGCATCACTGTGCTGGGATGTCAGACGGCTTTCAATGAGAAGGGATAGGATGTCACCAACTGGGGAGTTCCAGATGACATTTAGAGAAACTAACAAGAACACCAGGCAAAATGAGCAGAATGTTGTCATTTGGATTTAGGTTCTTGGCCAGAACATTTTGAAAACGAAAATTTTAGGAACACAGTGTGAATGGTGATCCTTTCTGCTGATGATATTTATTTGTGGCTCTCTGGGGCTATTAATTATGAGCGCTTAAATGAAAAGATTTAGAAAGCAGTATTTTGCTTTGGGATATGAAAAATAAAAATACGTCATTTCACTTTCCTAAAACAATGGAGTTACAACACAGAGCCCATAATTCCCTACCTGTAGATCAAGCTGTGGTGAACAATAAATGGTGGGTGGCTCTTGTTTCTTCCAGGTTGGGCTTCATCACTTAAATATATCAGGTAGTAGAAGATCATAAGTGGTTGGCAACTGGCTTGTGGGAGGGAGGCTGAGCTGTCCAGTTTGCCCATTTCTGTGTTGTAAACACTCCTACTTTGCTTGATTTCAGTCTACCAACATGGCATCAAAAGGCCTTGTGAGGGCTAGGGATGTAGCTCAGTGGTAGAGCACATGCTCTGCATGTTCAATTCCCAGTGCCACAAGTTAAAAAAAAAAAAAAAAAAAAGAAAGAAAAAACTGTGAAATTCTTGAAATTTTATGCAATATAGAAGGAGGTTATTGCAAAATTCTTGAAAATTTACAATGGGCTAGGCAAGAATATGCTCTAGTACACTGTGGATGCCCAATGTAGGCAACACATTGGCTCCTTAACTGACGCATATCAAAGCCATTTTCATATGCTCCTGGGGGAAAGCCATCTGCCTCAGGGCAACAGTAGGACATGGTTCAATCATAATTCTGAAAATTTTTGATTATCTAGGACACTGACCTCACCCTAACACAAAGAACTAGAATGGAGGATAAGTATAAAACCCCTCTTTTAGATGTTCACACAATTGCCCAACTGGAATATTAATTATAGAATCCAAATTAGGAAGAAATTTCTCTGAAAAAGGCATAGATAGATGTTGGGTACAGTGGACTATTATATGAAGTGTGTACATGTATTCATTATATCTAGTGCACATCAGTCCATTTAATATTAAGTATATTTTATATTAGACATATAGACATATAGATTTCTCAACTCCTCTGGCCAGAGAATGAGGCTAAGTGAATGCAACCTTTCTTTGTTAAATGGAGAAGGAGAAACTCTCTAGGACTTTATGCAAAATGAATGGGATCTGAGGATGGAAGGGAATGTCAATGTCGTGATGAGCTCTTCCTGAGAACACCTAGAGTAACAAACTCTACCCATACAAGGACTCAGGTGATTTATTCACTAATTTAATAAGTATGAAGTTAAAATTGATCATTTCAAATGTTGAAATGAGCATAAAAATAATAAATATTTTATTGCTAACACTCATCAGTATTTATTAAATATAAATAGGAACACAAGTAGGAAATATGAGCATGTTTTAGTAAATATGAGCCCATTATCTTTTCATCTCCAAATAATCTGTAAAATATTCATAAAATGCAAAGTGCAGCAGTTTCTGGGGCACAACCCTTTCTCTTGTTTTGCCAGGAGGTTGAAATCCTTTCAACCCTCAATTGTCAAAAGACTTGCTGCTCATCTCTCTTTTTGGTGGAAGAGCTGGATCTAGGGGAGGCAAGTTGGCTGCCATCATGGAATGCTGGGTACATATGGGTCCCAGGGAAACAGGCCAGTGAGAATGTTTATTCAAGGACCATCTAGGCTGGGGGACCCAATGACATCAAGCCAGGTGGTTCTTTAACCAAGTCCAGAGCATGCAGATCAGCCACTGACTACAGCCAGACCAGCATCCTCTCCAAGACCCTCTCTTCAATTTCAACACTGCTCTGTAGGACAGGCAGATCACAGGCATAATTACCCAATAGATGCAGATTCGTCTCAAGGCGAATGGCAGATTGGAAAAGGAGCTCCTCTCGGTTGTCCACAGATGATTCTGCTTCTAAGTGGCTTTGCAACCAACAGGCATACTCTTCTTTGCTCAGAACCTATGTGAGATACACTGTTGAATGCTGTGTCAGGCACTGCACACGTTGAGGCACCCACTTCTGCTTCTTTGCAGAGACAGTTCCCACTCACCCTCTTGGCGATGCACAAGGTACGCAGGCCTTCCATTGCATACAGGTTGAGGTAATTCTGTGTTTTGCTTCGGATCTTGTTTTGATGCTTTCCTCTGGCGTCATCTAGGTCAGAGTAGAAGCAGGAACATGAATAAAAAGGAATGGCATCCAGCATAACACCCTGCTGTAAATTCAACTCCCCCATCTGCTTCATCACTTTCAAATAATGCRCACAGTTCCATACAGAATTCAAAGAAATAAATCAACTAATTGGTCTCATCAAAATGCATATTTTTAGCTATTTCTAAGATCATTTGTTGAAATGAGAAACTCATGAAAACAAAAACCTCATCAAAAGACATCCAGAATCAATCCTTTGGTCCAGCCTATTAAAGGAAGGTGCCCATTCTAATACTTATGAAAGTGCAGTTTCTCTCCTCAAAACATACATCATTGATAGTGTTACCAAATAAAGTAGAAGATATCCAAATGCTGCCTCCTCATGTGAGATGCATGTTATATAGCTGAAATTCAAATTTAACTGAATATTCTATATATTTTATTTACTAAATCTGCAACCCTAAATCTTGAGGTCCTGGGCCTTGGGGAAGCTTTTCCACTATTCCAAGGGCATCCCATGCTGGACCTAGCAAGAAGCACTCTTATCCCAATACCCTGCATTCTCCTAAAGGGTGACAATTCTTCAAGGGAGTGACAACTTGTTCTTGGGAGTTGACAAAATCTTACTCGTGTATAAAACAGATACATGGAACATAAACAGACATACAGCATCTCTGTGGAATTAAAATGTCGCAAGAGGTCAATTGTTTTTAAAAAGACTCCTTAATGAGGGGTTGGGATTGTGGCTCATTGATAGACTGCTTGCCTGGCACGTGTGATGCACTGGGTTCGATACTCAGCGCATTATATAAATAAATAAATAAATAAATAAATAAGATGAAGGTATTGTGTCTATCTACAACCCCCCAAAAATATTTTTTTTTAAAAAAGACTCCTTAATGAGGTGATAATTAGAATAAAAAGAGTTGCTTTAGATTGCTTTGCTTTAGGGATTTAAATTTCCTGAGAAGATGAAGCTCAAATTTACGTATGTATGTATGTATGTATTTATTTATATACGTACATATGTACGTATAAGGGGAATGAACTCAGGGGCACTCTACCACTGAGCCACATCCCCAGCCCTATTTTGTATTTTATTTCAAGATAGAGTCTCACTGAGTTGCTTAGCACCTTGCTGTTGGCTGAGGCAGGCTTTGAACTCAGGATTCCCTGTCTCAGCCTCCTGAGCCACTGGGATTACAGGCGTCTTAGAAGATATAGATAAACCTCTGGTATTTTAGCTCTCAGAAGTTGTGGATAACTCTTTCAAGATTCTGATGATTCTTTGAACTTTGAAGTAAAAATAACAAGCCAGGTGGGTGGCACATGTTTATAATCCCAACAACCTGAGAGGTTCAGGCAGAGCATTACAAGCTTAAGGTCAGCCTAGGCAACTTAGTAAGATCCTGTCTCAACATAAAAACAAAAAGGACTAGGGATGTTACCTTAGCAATAGAGGGCCATGGATTCAATCCCTAATACCAGCCCCCTTGCCACACACAAGATCAGAATAACAATAGAGCACTCTGGTTGTCCCAGGGACAGGGAAGGTGGAGGGATCTCTGGGTAGAAAAAAGAGCTGAGCATTAAGATTAACCACATTTGTCAAAATAAATCTAGAAGAGTAAATAGAGATAGTCGGGACCATTTGGGACCCTGAGTACCTGGGACAAGGGGACACACAATTACCTGCTGGGGCAGGGAAGACAAACACACAGCCATGCATTGCTAATACAACCCATTCTCTCCCACTGGGTCAGTTTAACCAACACATGCCTCTTGGTGAAAGTATTGTAAGCTCTTTGAAGAAAGAGGATGGGTTAAATTCTGTGACATCTTTAATATTTGGAGATGAGGAGAAAGTGTTAAAATGTCCTTCTTTTATGAAATAATGGTGCTGTAATTTGTATCTTAAGTGTTCCCAAAAGTCCCATGTGGCAGACTGGCATGGTTGGGAGGTGGTAGAAAATTTAAGAGGTGAAGTCTAATGGAAGGTCTTTAGGTCACTGGGGATGTACCCTCAGAAGGAATATAGTGAGACCCTTTCTTTTCCCTTTTGGCCCCCTGGCCATGAGGTGAGCAGATATGCTCCACCATGAACTCCTCATAATATTCTGCCTGTTATAGCCCAAAAGCAATAGGGCCAACAAATTGTGGACTGAAACCTACAACCATGGGCTAAAATAAACCTTTTCTCTTTATAAGTTAATTATTTCAGTATTTCGTACACTGATGAAAAACTGACTAACACAGATGCTATTATCAAAACTTAGTGATAAAAGTTTTGTTTGTGTTTTGTCTATATTTGAGATTTTTCTGTTCATTTAAAAAACATATACTAGTAGAGAATACAAGTATGGCAACTGCTGTGGCCTCCTCTGTGGAACCTGTTTCCTTGCACAGCTCAACAGGATTCCTAACTTTCTTTCTAGGACATGACAGGCCTCTCCTACTACCTTTGTCCCACTCTTGTATTACTCTTGTATTCTAGTGCATGTCCAGACATTCTACCTTAGATATGAGCCATTGTGTGTGTTAGTGTGTGTTAAAGACTGAAGCATGGGGATCCTTTACGTTAACTTTAATGCACAATCATAAAATAGGACAGAAGTGGTCTCGAGTAGCAGAATAAAATCTGCTTGGCCCATCTATGTTTTTCTTCCACGTGGATGCAAACAAGAATCAAACATCAAGCTCTTCAGTCTCGGGCCTAAGTTGTGGCGACATAGCTAAACGCACTAAGAAAGTCGGAATCATCGGTAAATATGGGACCCGCTACGGTGCCTCCCTCCGAAAAATGGTGAAGAAAATTGAAATCAGTCAGCACGCCAAGTACCCTTGTTCTTTCTGTGGCAAAACCAAGATGAAGAGACAGGCTGTGGGGATCTGGCACTGGGGTTCCTGCATGAAAACAGTGGCTGGTGGTGCCTGGACCTACAACACCACTTCTGCCGTCACAGTCAAGGCTGCAATCAGAAGGCTGAAGGAACTGAAAGACCAGTAGAAAGTTCTACTATATAGCAAAAGTGTGGTTTATTATTAATTGTATTAACTGGATTTTCTGATGTGAATTGCATTCATATTGCCCTTTCAAAAGATTTGTAAATTGAAACCCTTCTAATTTGAATTGGAAAATTTTGCTGAAATGGATTATTGTAATTCAAGTCTTTTTTCCTCAGTAGTCAGATGATAATGGCATGAAACTAAGTCTTATGGCTTAGGTATATACTTAGCTTTTTTTGTTGTTGTTGTTGTTGTTTTTTAAAAAAAAACACTGTTCAACTACTCAGAGATACACTGACATAATTGTACAAAATTTGTTTTAAAGGTAAAATGCGCTACACAAAGGATATAGCTAAAGAAAAAAACAGAAAAAAAAAAAAGAATCAAACATCAGATTGAAGAAGCCTCTTGCCATACAATGTCAGCCCATGAATTGGTTTCTATGCCAACAACAGGACCACCATAAGGCTAGAAAGGCAACATCCTATCCAGAGTTGGTTGTCTAACTATTTTCAGAAACACATTTGCAAATTTAGATTAGATGCCTTTTGAAGGACACAATTCTGTGATGAGGACATGAAATTCCAGTCTGCAAAGATCCTCTAGCATATTTTCAGGCAACAGGGTAGTCCCAGGCTTTGGTATCTATAGAGTTCTGTCATAGGACACTGAGATTATGGTTAATAGGGCTGGTAGAAGCCAAACTCCAGAAGGACTTTTATAGTGCATAATATTTTACAACACAAAGTACCCAAAGCTGCTTCAGGATATGGAAAACAGCCAGGCTTCAGGGGTCAGGCAACAGAGCCCCTATTAGGTCCCCTCCAGCTGCCAATAGCATCCTTACCTCTACCCTGCTCTTGACCTCCAGAGCTGAGTCACACTCCTCCTCAATTGTTTGAGTAACGGAGGAGGGAGGACTAGGTTAACTGTACAAGTATGGCTCCCTCCTTGCCTCCAAGTTCAGGAGCATTTCTAGCTGGAAAGATTTATAGTCTTTTGCTGGATAAAGTTCCACCCTCCAAAAACCAAAACAGTGGTTTTTAATCCCCATTTTAAGTCAAAAGGGATAAAAGAGACTGACATGGAGCTGCTGCTTAGCCCAAAGTCAGGACAGAGGGTAGTGGGAGACAGACCTGCAGCTATACCTCCATGTCACCCCACATTATGGCCTGAGACAGCTCCACAAATAGGCTGAAAACTGTGGTCTTGACCTCAAAGATGCCCCCAGTCCATAGGGCAGGAGTGTACTTCCCAGAATTTTTAGTCTAGAGGTTTCAAATCTTCACTGTTCAGATTTAAAACCTGATGCTTCACAAGAAATCTCCCAACACCATTGCTCTGGAGCAGGGTTGAGGGAGGAATCCAGTCATCAAAGACCCCTAATGCAGTTTAGTCCAAACCTTTAAACTGGGAAATAGTGATTGAAAGAAACCATTAGATTTTCTAATGGGCATTGTTTTAGAAAAAGGATAAATGAAAATTGCATCACCCACAAGACTGGGTTAGGAGATTTCTCAAAAAATTCTCCCCAAGAATTGGGTGCAGCAAGGGAAGGGGCTGGTACCTGAGGAGCAGGGCAGCAGGAGATCCATGACTACTGAGTCAGCCCCCTTGGTGTAGACATTGATCTCATCGGTGAGTGGGTGCCGGATCACCACAGACATCCTCTTGCGAATGGAGTCAAAGCCGAGCGTGTGCAGGAGTTCAAAAGTGAGCCTTCCTAGGTGGGGCAGCTCCACTGACACCTGGTCATGTAGCCGATCCACCAGTGCACAGTTGTAGGCCTTGGCCGCATACACCAGTGCTGCCTCGTCTGGGCTCTCGGCCTCAAACCTCAGCTCCTGCTTTGGCTGAGGCTCCTGGGGGGAGTTGGGTTCCCAGCTGTCTGCGGGGGTGCTGTAGCCATTGCTGGCAATGGCTGGTGTGGGCTGGCCCAGCCTCTCCTCCAGCCTCAAAAGCATGCTGTCGTTGGACAGAGTGGACATGAAGCTGCACCCTGATTTGTGGCTGGACTTGGTGGTAGCCAGGCTCCCGATGCTGCTGCAGCCAGAGGTCAGGCGGCTGGGCGTGAACCTCCGGAGGAAATCTTCTATTGTCTTCACTGGAGATTTCAGCTCAAACCTTACCCTCACCTTCAAGAGAAGCAGTCAGAAGACAGGTGAAGGGATGATAGTATCCTCTGACTTTGCATAAAAGAATAGGGGAAGTGTGTTCACCATTGCCTGACATAAAACCTGGCTTTTTTTTTTTTTTGCCAATTATAAAATCACTTAACAAAGACAGCTTTATGAATTCCTTTAAATTATGTCCACAAAAATTTAAGTGTACAAATCACATTTCTAAGCCCAAAAAATCTTTTGCAACAAATTAAATATATAGACACTGGGTGTGGTAGTACATGCATATAATCCCAGCAACTTGGAAGTCTGAGGCAGGGGGCTGGAAAGTTTGAGGCCAGCCTGGGAATCTTAGTAAGACTCTGTCTCAAAATAAAAAATAAAAAGATTTGGGGATATAGTTCAGTGGTAGAGTATCCCCGAGTTAAATCCCCAGGGCTATAAATACATAAATACATACTTAGACAAATTCAGGATCTAAATCATTAAAAAATACTTTAACTAAAACAATAATAAATAAAATAAAATGAGATATATAACAAATGTAGATATATATCTAAAATTGTTAAACTTTCCAAAAGTTTAATGATGGAGCAATGGGACCATACTTTAAAGAGCAAATGTTGAAACAACCAAAATATTAAGTTATTATTAAAACTTTCTGATTAAGTAGAGTTGTCCAAAGTTGTGAATTATAGTATTAGCTTCCAGAAAGTCAGGTTATTTGGTAAAGCAAGACAAACAGAACCAGACTATGACAAAGGTGCCTTTTCTTTAGGCCTATGACTTTACTTATTCTTCTTTGTTGATAGGGATTGAATCCACAAGCCTATACTAAGCCTATACTCTTTCACTGAGATACTCCCCAAGGTCACATGTAATGACTTTATGTATGCTACACATTCAGGTGGGGAATGCACACATTCCTTCCATAGCTCCCGATACCTCCAAATGCTCTTAAAGGTGGCACTCACCAATATGTGGCAACAGAAATGATCTGGAGAAATGTTCATTCTCAGGCTAAGGGTGGGCAATTAAATATTCCATTCCCTACACAGAACTCATAGCGTGTATAACTTTCAGAATGGCCTCAGTCGTGATGGGGTCTCTTACTTACTCAGTAATTGCTACATTGCTTATGTCTGACAGGCAGGGTCTAACCTTGAAAACAGATACCCCATTCAGGGATGCGCCTGCCAGAAGGCTTTAATGCAGGGTGGTGGAAGATCCTGAAGGCCAGGTAAGGGATGCTGAGAGGCAGCTACATGCTATAGTAGGAAGCAGCTCCTGCCCAGGGCTGGCAGCATAAGCCTGTGGTCTCTGAGTGTCCAGACCTGTCCACTTGGGATCCACTTGGTGCACTGGGGCCTCAGCAGGCTGGCATAGCAGGAATAAGAGCACAGTGGGGTGGCAGCTGCTGTCAGACATGCTATCTCAGCAGACAGCATGACCCACCCTATTCACCCCATGTCAATTGCCAATGGCTCATCAGTGGAGCCTGCTGCAAGGGCTGATCCTGGAGGTTAGGAAGGTGTAGGGACAGGTCTATGACACATCCAGCCCTCATACACCTTCCTTTTATCCATTCCAAAGTGCCTAGCTTCTAAATATATATACCCATGCTGACGCACAGCCCTCAAGCAATGTGGCCCACCTGCAGGACTTCCTAAGGATTATTCAGGATCCCTTAATACATCAAACCTTTCCTGTCTTAAGGGAAAAGCCTTAATGTTGGGTCAACGCAAAACTAACTTGGGTACTGCTATTTCCACCACCCTAAGTAACCTGTGATTAATCCTTGACTACTTCTCCTTGAAGGACAATGTTAAACGTCGTTATTAACATTACATAATTTGCTGTGTGCCAAACCCGACTCTGAGCCCTCTCCAATAAATCCTCACCACTGCCCCACATCCCAAAAAAGCAGAGATGGGAACAACATGTCTAAAAGCCTTAAGTCAGGATTGAAGTCCAAGCATGTTGTCCCAAAGTCGGGGTACCCAATCCTTCCTTTCTCCTCTTCTTTGGTAATCTGAGACCTGAGACTCTGGGTAGGTCATATTGGGTAGCCTGCCCTCTGCCCCTGCTCAGGGCCAGGTAGCAGAAGAAGTACCAAGGCAGGTGGAGCCTCCTGAACTCACCTGTCCACCCTATAACAAGGTCCAGGTGGCCACTCTATGCCCTTCCTGTCTGAGGCACAGAAGGTGTCCCTGGCAATGTGTCCTCTCCCACTTGGCCTCAGTCCTGACCTGTCCACTGCAGCCTGGGATGACACTGCAGAACCAATGCACTGTTTCGCCCTGTGTGAAGCTGCATCTTTCTTAAACCTGAGAGCAGCTTCTTGAAGGAAAGGGAAGCATGCTCACCCTCAGGAAGACTACCAGAAGAGTTTTTGAGAAGATCAAGGGCATCATGTGCTCTTGGGGATACTCCACAACTTGCCTTCTGTCGTGGCTGATCCGGGGATGTGACCACTACTGTATTGCAGATGGTAAGCGCAATGAAGAAATCAAAGACGTCAGACAGCTCTGGAGAGAGTTGGGCCAGAGGGTGCTCCTGGTGCCTTGATATGGCCAGGTACCTGTCACACTCGCTCACCTTCTCTAACAGCTTTGGATCAGGTGTAATGTCTTTCTCCTGGGGAGAAAATGGAGACACATGTTGAGTCTGAACCAGTAAACTGCCAAGGATCTTCGTGCTTACCTATTTAAGGAGCCTTGGTYTTATTAAAAGGTATAAACAGAACTCCACCTCACATACACACTTATTTCATTTTATAATTGTACATTACATATAACTTTAATTGTATAAAATGTATCATTTACATATGGAAAAATGCATATTCTTATGTATAGTAAATACATATTTCTTATGAAACAATATATCTAAGATATATTATTACAAAATGACATGTGTCAACCTAGAGAAATTCAACAAATTTGTATCCTATTATCCCACAAAATATTTACTTTTCAAAAATATGCTTCTGTATTTCCTTGCAGGTTTTTATCTTTATATTTAAATTTCACATAATCAAAATATGTTATAACAAATTGGCAGTTTCCAGTTCCACCCAAAACATTATACTATCTGAACTTTTCCATGGCTTTAAGGATTATATAAAAACACATCTTTAATAACTTCAAAATGGATGGATATACCATCATTTATCTGACCATCTCTTGATCACTGGATATTTTGACTTCTTTTCACCATTTTGCTGATATAAATAACATCTTGATAAACTTCTGCAAACACCAATCTCTGAATCATTAAATTACTAGGTCAGAAAGTTTGAACACTTTTGACATGTGGTGCAGAAATGTTGTCAGGAAAACTTGTTCCAACACAGTTTCCCTTGGGTCTCCCAGAGGCCCTTTTGGCATCCCCATGTAAACCCATTGATCAGAGTCCACAATTCTAGGCCACCCCATTTAAGTGGTGGCTTCTATGTGGGCATAGAAGGACATAAGAAATGAAGCAACTCACAATGTATTTTTCCCTCTGTTCTTAAAACATTTCATAAGTGAAAGTATCTTTTGGAATTTGTCTCTGGTTTCTCGAAATTTCCCTGCCTGATGGCGGTGGCCTATAAACGCATGGACAGCTGACAAGGCAAGGAAGAAAATAGTGCCACTCGATTTAGGCTCAAATAATTAACTACTTGAGGGGAGGGGATTGACTTTGCTTTTCCACAGTTGTCATTTTGCTCTGATGTTTTATTCATTTCATTTGGCAGGACAGCTTCTTCTCCATCGCCCTTGGTGGGTGGCTCACATGGCAATCACCCAGCCATAGACGTATGGCAAAGAGGCTGTGTCAGTGTTTTGGAAAAGATACAACAGTGGGGAGAAGATACTGGCCAGAAAAACTTCTGCTAACTGAGCAGAGCCAAACGACCCAGCAAAAGCTTATTTGTATAATTAAATATAGACACCTTTGGTGATTGAAGAAAATGACAGTGGAAGAAAGCAGGAGGGCAGGCTGGGCATCCTCCCAAAGGGTCATGTGCCCGTGCCTGCACACTCACCATGGGGCTGCTGAAAGCCGTGTGCTTGGACAGCATGCTAGCCCTCTTGGCCTCAGCCCGGCTGCCTGTGCGCCAGTAGGACTTTGTACTCTGACTCCTGTGTAGGATCCGGACACTCTGGTGGCTCCCAATACTGCCACGCTGGGATGAGCCCCCCCTGGGCACCTCCTCCTCTTCTGAGTCTGCCTCCTGGTATCTGGCCAGACGCTGGGCTGTAAGGACAGGAACACAGAATAAGATATCATGGGAGCAGGTTGAGCAGGTTTAGCAGACTGAGCCAATTCAGGGCCTTTTAGGTTTCATGAGGATTTCGGCAGGGTGCCCAGAGCACTCAGTACCTTCACTTTCTAAAGGCAAGGCCACATTTAAGGGACTAACCACTGACAGAGGTTAGAGCATATTCTTGTTTCTCTGAACTCTCAGGTCAGCCTAAGGAGGCTGATATTCTCAACCCCATTTCTCAGATGAACAGACATTTCAGAAAACTTAGGGGCTTGCTAAAGTCACAAGACACAGTCACAGAAGGATGATGGTGGCACTCAGGCCCAAAGGATGACAAAGCCTGGATCCTTTCCAGTATGATACAGTGGTCCACTCAACCAACAAGTCAGGTGTGGGCAGGTCTTCTTTTTAGGTAGAACCAAAGTGCACATTGGATTGGGCCAGCAGGTGGCCTGGAGGAAGGCAGGGCAGAACGTGCAGGCCTGGCCCACACAACAGGACTCAAGGATTTGCCCATCATGCATGGGGTTATAGGGCCCACTTTCCTCACTGGGCCTTCCAGGCAGATGAGGCATTGTGAATCTTTAGAAACAAATGTATGGGACTTCAGCTGAGATGAGAACACTCATTGGTGCCAACCTCCTTATCAAGGACAAGTGGACAGGGTGACCACTGGTGGGAGAAGGTGGGACGGGCAGGTATTCCCTTTGCAGGCAGAAGCCAACCTCCAAATGTACTAGCTAGAACGTAGTCACAATCACACGTCCAGGCTTTGTTCCTGTGAAGTGCTGCAGATCAGGGAGGCTTAAACTCCTCCTAAGATCACACACAGGAGGATCACTTACAGACAGGGTGATTGTGATGCTGCACTTGAGCCCTTAGGGGGCACTGTTGAGCAAAGTCCCTGAGGCCATGGGGGCATTTGGTAAGTAGTATGAAGAGTTGCTTGTTAACCAATGATCCTTAACAAATTTCCCTGTTTTTCCCAGTTAGGATAGCTTGCTTCTTCATAGATGAGCAACAAGGAGACGATTCATGAGAATTACCCATTCAAAATAAGCACTTAATTAGAACTTCAAGTGCATGCTGTGCTGGGCAGAACTACAAGGAATCCTTACACGAGGGAGCCTGCTGAGAAGCTGCCCAGAGAAGAGGATGCCCAAGATACTGATCAATCATGTGGGATAAGCCTATGTATTGAACATATCTTAAGAGACTTTCCTTTACAGATGAGAAATGGGGAGACAGAAGAGGAAGTCACCTGACCACTATCAGAAGGCTGAGTACTTCCCAACACCAAGATTCCAGGCAGCAGGGATGTTTGATTCCTCTCAAACATCCTACCTGCTCTTAGGTGACACTAATCCCAGTTTAGTGATACTGGACAGCAAGAAAAGGCAAAGCCTGGACACAAGATTATATCTACTTTCTAGCTAGTGCATTTGGAGCTTGGCTTCTGCCTGCAAAGGGAATACCTGCCCATCCCATCTCCTCCACCACTGGTTACCAGGTATCAGAGTTCAATGTAGCCACCACTAAGGACTGCCTTCATGCCTCCCAGGATGTGGGGGCCAGGGATGGGGCCAATGCTGGTGTGAGATATTTTCTGACTCCAGTGACTTCAATGAGACTTTTGAAGTCCTCATGGAAGAAGAGGGCAAGGTTCAGGAACTACCTATCCCTGGGCATGCACAGTCAGTGGCTCCAGGTCATCAAAAAGAAGCACACCCATGGTCTGCATGACCAGTTACGGCATATGAGCTGGGCTCAGTGCTCAAAGGGAAATTTATCGTATTAATTTACCAGTGAGTGATCAGATCATAGGATTAACTAGCTGAAGGTGCTCTCTGTCCGTCAACTGCTGATCCAGGCACTTCTGTAAAATGTTCTGTGGAGATGCATGGTTGGTTATTTCATTACTCACCAGAAATGCTCTCCTATTTTCTGAAGGCAACAGAACTCTTTAGTTCTGGTAAGCATTTAACAACTGTCAAAATCTGTCTGTGATTTCTCCCCATGGAGCCTCAGGTCCTGACTTTATTAATATTTTTTAAAATATAATATTTTTAATTGACAAATCATAATTATATACATTTATGGGATGCAATGTGATGTTTTGATAGATGTATGCAATGTATGCATATCCATCACCTCACCTGCATATCATTTTTAAGGTGAGATGACTGAAATTTACTTGTAGCTGTTTTGCAGCATACAACACCTAATTATTAACTACACATAGTCACTGCTATGCAACAGATATCAAAACCTGTCCTTTTTATCTGTCTGAAACTGATCTCAATTTCAGAAGGCTGCTGAAGAAAATGCTGCCTGGGAATGAGCTGTTCTGCACAAATTCTAGCAGTGAGAGAAGGGGACCAGAAGGCAGGAACAGGGTCTAATGCAAGGAAGGGGTAGGGAGGATAGAAGGAGAGTGGAGAAAGTGTGGATAGGTTAAAGTATGGAATACTATCACAGACAGTTTATTTTGGGTGGCGAATAAGACATTAAAGTGTATAAGTTCTTCTGCCTTCTGTTTACTACAATTGCTTTAATTGTATATGGAGGAAGGTAGAGGATATCAAGATAATTCTTGATTTCATAAAAAAAAATCCCAGATTTCTCATCAAATATCTCTAAAGAAGTTTCCTATTAATGCCCAATGGCTGCTCCATTCCCCCTATTCCCCATTTTATACAGGTTTCCTTATGTTATTTGTTGCAGTTATAGGAGGGAAATAAGGTCTTTGTTGCAGATCAGGGTGGCCTTGCTTGGAGGTGCTATGATCCTGAAAAATTATGAGTGCAGGACCACTTCTCATCGCACCCTCTCCTGCCTGGGGTGGAGACTGCTGGTTTAGTCACACCCTTGGCTTAAGAAGTCGTGGCTCCCCTTAGCCTTCCTTCAGAGACAAAGGAGGCAGCAGAGGATAAGGAAAGGAGAGGTGGGAGGAGGGGCTGTCTGAGCAATCATAATCGGAAGTGAGGCGATTGATTTCTCGCCAGCTCCCACGGACATTTTGTTCCAAGGGAAAGAATGCAGCCTGAATTAACCAATGCCCTTCTAAAAATCTTTAGCTGATAACAGGAAGACAGATGAGTGACAACAGAAACATCTCTTTGTCCCTGGGTGTGACAGAGTGAAATGACTGCATGCCTCAGAAATGAGCTCCTTAAGGGTGCCCTGCCTGCTGCTGCACTTGCCCGACAGAAAATGAGTGCTGAAACATGCCTGCCATTCCACACACTGCAGTGAGCCTGGTAGCGTCAGCCTTTCCTATAAATAGTGCCAGACATCAGGCTCCCGAGGTGCTCTGACAGCCATGTCTTTTTGCTTCCTTGAAAATCAGCAATCCCTGAAGCTTGTGTGTGTGTGTGTTCACACACAGCATTGGATATAGCAGTTTTCTGGTCCAGCCCAAACAGAAAATCCCCCAGACTCACCATTTGCATCATGAGAATATTCTATGCCAGACACTGTGCATCTTCGGAAAACCATTTTATTCTCAGTTAAAGTGCCAGTTTTGTCTGAGAAGATATACTGTATCTGCCCTAAGTCTTCCGTGATGTTCAGAGCCCGACACTGCAGCTGAGAATCTGTCTCTTCATCGTACAACTCTATATCCTGGTTAATGAAGTACACTTGGCAAACTTTAACAATTTCAATGGAAACATATAAGGAAATAGGGATCAAAACCTAGGAGACACAAGGCACACAGGATGAATGACCGTGAGGACATGGAGCTATAGAATTGGTCTGATCTATTTAAATGACAAATGACTACAACCAGGAGGAAGCAGGGACTATACTGTACCTTTAAGAGCTTAAATAGGTTGGTTTAGAGTCACTATTGGAAAAGGATTAAAGAATTGGCATAGAGTTTAAACTAGGACAGCCTATGATGCAACTGCAGAGCGGAAATCCACTATGGTGTCTGGAAGTGTGACCATGGCTTGGGCAGAAGCAAGCATTTCTCGTATTACTAAATTGTGCTCGAGAGAGGCTAGGAAAGGAAAGAAAGGAGAGAGAGAGAGAAAGAAAAAAAATATGTCATAGTCAGAGTCTGCAAAGTCATCTCAAACCATGGCAATGTTTGACCCCCAGGCCTCCCTTGGGCCCCAGGTGATAGGAGCTGCCTGTCTCTCATGGACACAACCCCAGAGTTCAGACAACATCCACCAAAAAATGACATTCTTTTTTTCAGAGCCTAGTTTTGTGTTAAAGCACCATTTCTTCAATCTTGTATAATATAGAATAAAGGGACAAAGCTTTGCAAGAATTGTTTGCAGTCATGTCTTGAAATTTTTAGACCAACTTCCTTGAAATTAGTATTTACTTTTTAGAGTCACAGCATTGAAATAATTTGTATAGACCCAGAATATCATATTCAGAGTAACATGGTTCTCTGGGTAAATTAATTATGTTAATGAAATGCCAAATATTACCCTACCTCAAGACCAGAACAAATTTTGCATTTATATAAAAGGACTAATTTGGAAAGTTAAATAAGGCTGTTTCCTGTATATGAAGCACAGATGATAAGAGAGAGCAGAGCTTCCCTCCTAGGTGAAGCTAAGTATACATCCTCTGGTTATTCTCTATATTCTCAAAAGGGTTGGTGGTGACTCTTGCTTCCCTTCTCACCCTTTGGAGCACTGGGACCATCCCCAATCTTTACCTAAACTTTCTAGACATAGACTTTCAGTAACTGGGAGTTGTGAAGGAGGCATGTGAATAATATTAGCAACAACAACAACAAGTACTGATAAATGTGATAACCTGAATTGAACTGAATCCTGGAACAAACAAAAACCACATCAGTGGAAAGATAGGTGAGCTCTGAATGATGCAGTTTGAACTGTGTTCACGGCAAAGTACCCAAGTTATTTTCTTGTCTTTATAATACACTACAATAATATAACATGTTCACATTTTGGAGAACCTGTGTGATGGAATTATGGGAGCTCTTTATGTTAGTCTTTTCAACTTTTCTGTAAATCTTAAAATTATTTCAATATAAAATTTATTTTTAAACAAAGTAATTTGGGTAGGGGATTGCCTAATATGAGGCCCTGGGTTTGATCCCCTACACTGAAAAGAAAAAAATTGAAAGGAAAAATAATGAAATGAAAATGATGACCAACACCAAGATTTCAAAGTATTAGGAATCTTAAGAAAAGCAAAGGAGATCTTTAACTTGAAAAATCACCCAAGGATGAAAACCTATAAATAAGTGGAGAAATAAAAAGCAACACATCAGGCAGATATATTTGTGGTTCTCCCAGATGCAGAAATTACAGGAAATTCTTAGCAGACTATTATGACTTTCAAGTTCTCTTGAGAAAAGTAAAGCAATACGATGCTTAGTACTGTTACCTGCAGAACTATTATCATTGTCAAAAATGAGTAAACTGCTGCTGTGACTGGGGATAAAGAACTGCCGTCAGACTCAGGGACATCAAATAATGCTTTCTTATCTTGATACCGCTGTACCCACAATCCATGTCCTGTAGCAACATTCGAAGAGAAACATCATTCATCTGATAGAAAAAGTATGAGCACTACTAGTATAAATTAAGCAAAACTTTAAAGATTACAGCACATTTAGGACAGAGGACATAGCACACATGGCTTTATTAGCCTGCCTTGCCATGTAAGAAAGTAAAAACACACAAGTATTTTTGGCACCCTTGATCAGATTTCTGGAAGGAGCTTGAAATTGGACTTATCCTCATACCAAAAGTTTCCTATTGTTGATGTGTAATGATACCACTGGTCATAATGTAGGAATCATCTGTGTTTAGCAGTGTGAAGCACACAAAAAAGAATTTTGTAGTGTGTGTCTCACAAAAGACGAGTCTAATGAAAAATCAGTGGGCTTTGGATATGCTTCCCATTATTGTTCCTTCTTGGAGATTCAAAGTTCACATTCAGAGAAGCAACAGCAGTAGACACGATTTAACCGACTGGGTCCCCCATCTATCTGATAACAGAAGTCTTTTTTTGTGTTCTATATGCTTATGTCCTTTACCACTGAGCTCTCAGACCATGTCACACCTGTCTCGTGTATGCTGGCAGCTGATCAGGGACAAGGTGAAGGTCCTGTACTGGGGCGTCCACACACTTCCCTACAAGGCTAATGTAAACTGTAGCCCCTTCTTGGTATTCAAGTAATGTTTCTTTTTTCCTGATTTCATGAAGTTCCCATTGTAACATTTGTGCTTCTCTTGCTATTGGCCTTAGTTTATCACCAGCTCTCTGATGCTTCTTTCACGGACTCATTATTACTGCTGCTGTGATGCATCCATTCTTCCAAAGAGTTGTCAATTCAGAAAATAACATTACTCTGCCATCAATCATCTAGGCATCTCAGTGTGGCCTGTGCTGATGCAAACAGCCCTTGAGTCCAAGTCAGTGGAAAAAATGTGTTTTAGAATGCTGGATCAGAATGAGTCAAGGCAGCCCAGCAGAGCTCGCCTGGAGGCTACTCAGCAGTGCCCATTCATTGGTGATCCATCTAGGAGACTTACCGACCGCTGAAAACAGAGACATACAAACGAGGAGAAGGACACACCAGAGCACGTCGCAGTTCATCTGCCTCTCAAGTTGGCTGCGCTTGTAGCGGGGCCCGCTGTTGTTCAGCAGAGCCTTGGTTTCGTGTCCTGTTGGGGAAAAGGTAGAAATGTAGTGAGCCAATGACCAACAGTTAAAGGACCAGTTGATGTGGATCCCATGGAATGAACTGCTATGCTGCCACCCAATTATGCTTATATGACAATCTGGGTCAAAATAGCAGGCTATAAAATTAATCTTGCATATTTAACAATGGTGGGAAAATGAATGGAAATAAATATGCTATAATGCCAAGACAGAACACTTTTAGTTGAGGAATTATTAGAACAATTCTTACTTAAGCTCTCTTCGTATCCTAGTTTCCTAAATTTCCTACAATGGTATATGCTACTCTTCCGGATAAAAATTAGGGAGAAATGTTTGAGAGCATACAGCACCACATGGTAGCACACGATCTAAAGTGCCTATACTTACCTGCATAGATGACGATGCCAACTACTGCTTCTGTATTCCTGATGGTACACCCTCGCAGCAGCAGGTTTTCCTTGTACAGTCCAGCCTTCTTCCCATTATTGTGTATGCTATTGATGAATAATTGGCACATGTCATGTAATTGCATACAATTCCCAATCAGCGCTACCTTAGGGAAGGAAGGCCCTGGAATAACTGGAAGCTCCAGAAAACCTGAAAGCTGGACAGGTAAAGGGATCAGGGAGCCTCAAGTATGGGTGGCTTATCTTAGTGTGCCTCTACAAGAGCTGAGAAAAAGTTACTGTTCACTAGTAACTGGGAATCCAAAAGAACTGGAAAGCCTGGTTCTTATTTACTTACTTTGTATCTTTTTTTTAAAACTCTAGAAACTGACATAGCTAGAGAAGACCAAATGTGGAAAGCAGAGCAGAGTTGGGAAGCCAGACAAGGTTGGCTTTGCTAGGTGGTATATCTCCTGCTTCTCAAAGGAAAGGTTACTTCTAATCAGCACCTCATGTCATAAAAAACACAAATATGCATCTGGAAAAGGGAATGATATTAGTTTGAGCAATATTTTTTTTTACATTTTTCCCTTATTAAAAAATCACAAAGTTATTAGAAATACTAATATATGTAATTTGAAATGTAAGCCCATGAAACAAGCTTCTAAATTGTTTCATTAGCATGTAGATTCAGAAGGGTAATCTAAGCTTAAGCTTCTGGTCTTCAAACTCATCCTCCTGGATCACCAATGACCTGTACTGGATAGGACAGCCCCATGCTAGGACTACATTGGGACAGAAGAATCGCAGGAACCCAATGTACAGGTCTCAAGGGGGAGCCTTAGAGGCTTCCAGAACTACAGCCAAGCACAGTCTAATCTTCCCCAGGCAGTGACACTGAGAGAAGCACCTTCCAAAACACCACCTTTTCAGTAAACTCACCCCTCTGGGTACACCCACAATCAAAATGCCTCCACTGAGGTTCTTGGAAGCTTACCAGAGACCCTTAGAAGTCTTTTCCTTCTCCCAACTCCTAGCACGGTACCCAGTTACTAGGGAAATAATCAGAAAAGCTACACAATGCAATCAAAGCTAAAATGCATGCTGGGTGGTTCTTTTGCAGAACAAATGCAAAGGAACACAGAGGTGGGGGAGATGCTCAATCAACACTGAGCTGACAGTCCACTTTGGCAACTCTGAGACAGAGTAAAGTTCTACTTCAAAAAGAGATTCAAGACTGAAAACCTCACTGCCAGCTGAAGCATCCAGAAACCAGCCTGTATACGATGATATTAACTACGAAGAAAGCCCTGCTTCACACTTTCCAAATGAGAGGACACCATAGCCACATTTCTGACATGGATGTCTCTCTAGAAACAGCTGGATATGAAAACAATTTCTCTGAAGTAACAGTAAAGAATGACTCATCTCAAAGCTCCAGTAATGCTTACTAGGAATAAGAGATAAAACTCAAAAGAAACAAGAAAAATATCTATTTTAGATAGGCCTTCTTTGACAGCTTTTTAGAAACTACAGTCAATATGGGTTCTCAGCATTTGTAGATTCAACCAACCAGAATGAAAGATATTGAAACAAATATTTGACTGTACTGAACATTTTCAGATTTTTCACCATAATTCCCTTAATAATACAGTGTAATGACTATTTACATAGCACTTACACTGTATTAGGTTATTATAAGTCATCTAGAGATGATTTAAAGTATACAGGAGCATGCACCCAGGTTATATGCAGATACTGCACCATTTTCTATTAGAGACTTCAGCATCTGTAGGTTTTGGTGTCAGTGGAGGGTCCTGGAACCAATCCCCTGGAAACTGAGGGACAACCATGCTGTGCTTCTAATCAAGCCAGACAGCAACTCATCACCAGGAGGTGCACTGGCCTATATAAGAACCACAGCAGGCTGGGGTTGTAGCTCAATGGTAGAGTATTCACCTCGCATGTGGAAGCTCTGGGTTCTATCCTCAGCTCCGTTAAAAAAATAATAATAATAAAATAAGGGTATTGTATTCATCTACAACCAAAAAGAATTAAAACAAACAAACAAACAAACAACAACAACAACAAAAAACCCCACAGCTCTTTGTGACCAGCTCATCACAATGGAAGGAAGGCTGGAAAACAGCAGTACCCAGGGGAGTCCCAGCACGCAGCTGTGATGCCATCATGCAAGCACACGCAGCAGTGGGGGTGGCGAAGGGCACCTGCCTTAGACTTCTGAAAGGGAGAGTCCCAGATAACAGTGGAACAGACCCAGGGCCATGCAAGCATGAGTCTCAATTCCATGAAGCTGCACACAAGAACGTAAGCCCTTCAAGCTATACTCAGCACTTCCCCCTTTGAGATTCAAAGTTCACATTATAGATTCAGAGAAGCAACAGCCTGGGCTGAACTGTGTCCTCCCTGAGATTCAGATGTTGAAGTCCCAATTTCCAGGACCTTAGGATATTACTGGAATTTGAAGACAGGGTCTTTAAAACAAGAAATTAAGTTTCAAAAGGGCCATGAGGGCAGGACTTGATCTAATCAGAGTGGTAACCTTAAAAGAAGAGATTAGGGGCAGAAGATGTGGCTGTGCATACAGTGCTTGCCTGATATGCTCAAGGGTTCAATTCCCAGCACCAAACTAGGGTAGAAAAAAAAAAAAGACAACATTAGAACAAAGGCACATAGACAGAGGGACAATCATGGGAAGACATAAGGAGCAGAAGGACATCCACAAGCCAAGCAGAGGTATCTCAGGAGAAAGCAACTTGCTGATACATTGGTCTTAGACTTCCAGGCTCTAGATTGCAAGAAAATAAACTTCTGTTGTGAAAGCTGCCCAGTCTGTGGTGATTCGTTATGGCAGCCTTGACAATTGAATACATCCTTTAACATTTAATCTAAGCTACCTCGAAGAGTTCATCTAGTTCAAGTCCCCAGGCCTCTTAACTCATCAAACCAATCTCTTCTAAATCAAAACCGTCCAGAAGTAAAATTTTATGAGAGTACTGTCTGATGGTACCATGTAGCATGCACTAAAAAAGTGCCATATGCAGGATCTTTGGGAAATGGCAAGTTCAGCTAATAAATGACCTGCTCAGCTTTTCTCTCTTTGAAAGATGTTCCATTTCTGGTGACTGCACTTGCTGTTGGGAATGGCTCTTATGTGTCTGAGTCCCAGTATGTGAAGGAAGGTGAGTTCTAGTAATGACCAACATGCTGACAAGCATCTGCAACAGGGTTGGAATCTGTCCATTCAGAAACAGGAACACAAGGCATTCTTGTGCCCACATACCTCCCCCCAAGGTCTAAGGGTTGCAATATCAAGTGCCAGAACCTTGAAGAGAGTTTTCAGGCTGACTGCCTCCCCCAGGGCATATCATCTGCAACACTTAGAGACTTGGGTTTTCCTCTCTGCTTCACCCTGGTTAGTGGCTCCACATCAGCCATAAGGAGCAAAAGGACATCCACAAGCCAAGCAGAGGCACCTCAGGAGAAAGCAACTTGCTGATACATTGGTTGAGGTTGCTGGACCAGCAACCTCAGTGTTATTAATGCCTTGTTTTCCCATCCATTCTACCATCAGTTCTCAATATCAACCTCCTCACTGGCTATTTCTCTAATCTAGGGCCTCCTTCTCACCTAATTCATTGCCCTAATTCAGGTTACCCACATTTTTTTTTTTTTTTTTTTTTTTTTTTGCTGTTTTTTTCAGCACACCATTGCTAGCCTCAACACCACCAGCCTGGGTCCTTCATACTCACAGTCACCAGAGAAATTTTACCATGACATCTCTGTTGTTTGTACCCCAACAAGCAGGCTCTGGGCTCCTGATGGCATTCAATGCTCACACTAGCCCTATGTGGTTGCAAATGGCTCTGCAGCATCAGGAAGAAAAGCTCAAAACCCTGCTCTGTGGACTCTAACTTTGGGGTAAAAATGGTAACCAGAAGAGATCATGGGGGGGGCTCTACTGATATCAGGCAAAGAGCTTTGAATCCAAAATCTCCCAAAAGACAAACAAAGTCATCTTATAAAGAAAGAGTGGATTCAACAGGAAGACATAACAAGTATATATGCATCCAAACACCAAAGCACCTAAATATATAAAACAAACATTGATAGTTCTGAAGAGAAAAATAGGCAACTGAATTTATAATGTGAATTGGAAATTTACATCAGATGACCAGCCAGCCTCTTTTGCTTCATCCTTTAGGGGAAAATGCAAATGTTTCACTGAGTTATGGCTTCAAAGATCACTATACAACACGAAGTTGACTGAACACAGTCAAATGGAGTCACCCTAAGCCAAGTCTCCATTCATAAGGGGCCTGTATGTGCAGCTGTGATGCCCTGGGCCAGGAGCTAAGGACAGAGCCCAGAAAGAGGTGAAGAATATTTCTATTTCCAGTTTCTAACTGAAGACTTCATATAAAGATCATTTGAAACAGCACAGGTCTTTAAAGTGTTCTTAACACTTTTTTTTCTAATAGCAGGAGATTTAGTTTACATTCAGTTATTTAAAGTATATAGTTCACTGGAGTTTTTTGTTGCTGTTTTGTAAATTGAGAATTGTGCAACTATGACCAGCAGCTAATTTGAGAACATTTTCTTCATCCCCCAAAGAAACCCAATACCCATTAGCAGTCACTCCCCATTCCTATTCCACTCCCCTCCTCTCAAGCCCTAACCACCTCTGATCCCCTATCTGTATCTATAAGATTGTCCTACCCTACCGCAGACATCTCACATGAGTGGAACCATACACTAAAGCTAGCACAGAGTGGTTGCACGATATATTCTAATTCATGTGGTATTTCACATATTTTCTTTCATTTGTTTCTCAGGTCAGCCTGTGAAGTTGAGGGGGTAGCCAATGTTAACCACAAAATTCAAAGGCGGAGGATCAGAAATGCAGAGTAAATTTCTAAGGTCACCTGCCCCAGCAATGGGGAGAGCTTAACTTCAGACTTGGGTTTTCTTGCTGCTATAAACCCAAACTTAGCTCTGCAAATGGCTAAGATTTTGAGTTTGGATTGGCTGGTCCAAGAAAAGAACAAAACTTGCTGGCATGCCTGTTGAGGAGTTTGGTCTGCCATCCATGGTTCCCTGGCATGATGAAGTTACTTGCATGTAGCCACTGTCTCACAGAGGCTAAAGGGAGGCCACCCTGAGATGATAACAAACACACAAGCCAGCCAACCAGGAACTGGCTCTGCAGTCTCCATGACAGATCTGCTCCCCAGGTTAGTTCCCTGCTCCTAGCATTATTGGGATGAGTGTGAATCAACCTCCTTTTCTCTGACCTCCTTCTCTCTATCCAGGATAGAACATGGGAATCCAGCATGAGCAGGCCCACTCCCTGCTCAGACAGCAGTCCTCAGCATGAGGCTGCCCTGCTCCCTTTGCTAATACCCTGGATCCCCTGACCTCGCTGATCCTCCCTTTGTATTCTTTCTGGATCTGAGCTTCAGCCTTGATGAGGCTGACGGTGTGCCACAGTCACAAGAAAACCTTTCAGACAATGCTATCCATAGGCTCCAAAGACCCTGCTTGAGTTAGTCTGGCTGGAAGAGGGGCCTGTGGGCACACTGTCAATCCTGTGGCAAATCCGAACCACCTCATCTGGTAGAGATAGCAAATCAGTTAAATGGGGTTACATATGCAGAGGTCTGTGCATATGTATTTCATTATAGTCAGACAATAGACTAACACAATTCCTGGCCCACATTATTTTGCTCAAACTCTCTGCCCTTCCTAGGCCCAGGCTCTGGGGGACATCAGGGTAGGAAAACAGGGTAGAAAAACAAAGGGGAAGGCAAGATGATTAGAGAACAGAGCAGAGAGGATTTCGTTCCCTTCTCAGCAGGTCTTTCTCAGGAAATGTACCCATGAGGACAACCATGCTGGGAACACTTAATGTTAGCATTGTTGGAAAAGTCTGACCAGGCCTTTCAGAACAATGTCTGTTTAAAAGACTGTTTCCATAGTGCCCAGGGGAGAGAAACAGGATGGAGATATCAAGACAGCTGAAGGCTGGGTACTGGGTTAACTGAGAAGCCACAAGATACCAGCCTCACTGAGGGCCAGCCCCTCATGCACAGAGATCACCATGTCCCCCTCACAAGCACCTAAGGACTTTAGGAGCCTGGGTTTTTTTTTTTCCTACCTTCTCTCTTTCTAACAAGTATCACTCTTTTGTATCTGAGGCCTTCTTTCTGGTCACAACCCTCCTCTTTAGGTCACATTTCTAGAAAGAGTGGTTGAGCAATGTCTCTTCCTCTCCTATATCCTGGAGCCAAGACTCTCAGACTACTGAAATGACTTAGTTGTAACCTTCCTTAGGCTTTCTGTGGAACCCAGGGTACTGCAGATCTCTTTTCAATGTCCCTGCTGTGTCTCCTCCCCTGGGTATCACCCTTGTGATGGTTTCCCCATCATATCAAGGTGACTGTTCCTAACTTTGGGGATTACTTTGTCTTCATTCCTTTCTTTTCTTTCCTTACTGTCTCATATGGCCTGGCCTCTTCTCTAACTTTGAATATGACCTGTAGGTAGAGGGTCTTCAAATTTTTATCGCTAGCTCCTACCCTGTCCTCAATTCCTGCTATAGTTTGGAGGGAATGTGGGTAATCCCTCATGAATTCAAGTGCATGAAGCCTGATCCCCACTGTGTTGATGTTAAGAGGCAATGGGACTGTGTAGGGGTGGGGCCTAGTGGGAGGGGATTACTGGCCCCTCCTCAACCTCTGGCTTCCTATGTGGTGATGTGATCTCTCCCTCTCATATACACTCCCACCATGATGCCATCCACCATGAGAGACACAGAGACACAGCCAGAGGGTTCTCACCATAGTCTACAGCATACTGCACTTACTGTGCTTTAAACAAACCTCTCCATAAGTACCCAGCCTCAGGTATTTCATTATAGTCAGACAACAGACTAACACAATTCCTGACCCATATTATTTTGCTGTCATCTGATCATTGTGCCTTATGCATTTGCCACATCCTCAAACTCAGGAAACCTCAAACCCATCTTCCTTCTTCCTGTGGTTCTTACACACACACACACACACACACACACACACACACACACACACACACAGGATAAGCCATTCTCCCAATCACCTTCTCCACTAATCTCCCTCCTGAAGATCACTTGAATAACTCGGCTACCTGTACCATCTCTTGACTCTTCTCATCTCTTGCTCCGTATTATTATTTATAATAGTATTTTTAACACAGCAGCCTCAATGATAGTGGTCAATATTTACTGAACACCTATCATGTTTGAAAACTTTCTGTGTATTAAATTAACTGAACTTTCCTTGACACAGGGAACGTCCTAAATTACTCTCATTGTATAGATGAGTGATTGTGGGTGAGTAACTCACCCAAGGTTATCTAGCTAGTAAGTGCGGGCTCCGGAGCCTCGCAGCCTTAGCACCAAAGAGGACTTGTTTAATGCCCAGCTATCTTCAGAAACCCAGCACCTGTTCTAGCTGGCTTGGGCCCGGGGGATTCACAGAGTCTCTGTAAATGGTACCAAGGGCTTCAACTCCTGGGGCAACTGGTTAAGGAAGCCTGGAGAAGACAGCCCAGGAAAGGACAGAGACCAGAAATTCACAGCAGACTGGAACATATGGGTAATTGAGTGTTCTCCCCCCAGATATTGTCGACTATATGATAAGGTTTGTTCTTAGGAGTTTTACCCCCCTTTAGCTGTTTCCTTTAAGTGTTGACCTAACATTTTCCAAGTTCTGATCCTCAGAGCAATTTCAGTGGGTGACTGAGCCATCACACTTAGCTACAGATGCACTTCACCTTTCACTGTGAAATCTTCCATGATGCACTAACCCCCAGCATCTCTGCATGCCTACTGTGTGTGGGGCACAGTCAGCCATGCTAGATGACTCAGAAATTACAAGATTCAAGTTTATTGAAAGCTCTTGGAGATAGAACCCATTTTCAGAAGCAGAACACCCTGACCCTCCATAACTGTAGAGAGGCCACTCTGTACCTGGACCACTAAGCAGTAGCCTGGGCTCAACTGTTAAGCTTGAGCTTGAGAGCAGGACAGCAGCAGGGAGAAGGCCCCATATCTTCCAGATGGGAGCTAAGTCTACAGAGTCCACTGATGCACAAAAGGTCAGTGAATCAGGGCAGGTCAAACCTAATGTCCTTTATGTCCTTGTCACCTTCCTCATTCTCTGTGAAATTGTCCCCATAGCTCTAGTCTGTAATTCAGCAACTCCATCCCAAAATGCTCTATTCTCTTCCATTTTCTCTCCCCATACTAACCAACTGGACTATTTATCCATATTTTTACTTTTTCTCCTTTGGAATAAGAAATGGTGCTGGACTTTGGACGTATTGAATCTACATTTCTTATTTGTGTGTTTTTGTTTATTAATCTTTCTTTTCTCCTAACTTAAATAAAATAAACATGAAGGCAGAATTCTCTGTCTGTTGAGTCACTGTATTATATCCAGAGCACTGGCCAGTGCCTAGCATATAAGTACTTGTTCAATGACTGACTTACTAAAGGAAGGAATGAGCTTCCAACCAGGTTCCTCCTGCATGGCTCCAGCTGCCATTTTCTGAGTCTATATGTAAGCCATCACACTTCCCTTGTCATGTCCCCTACCTGCTGGGTGCTGACCAGGTGGGAGAAACACTCACACTCATTATAAGGACATTGATAGTTGCTACTGCTGACAGGATCTTATGAACTTGTTCAAAAAGCAGCTCAGAAGGTTCACATGTTGGGTAGCATTCCCACAAGATTATACCATGTGGCAAAGAACATTTAAGACCTATTTTATAACTCTGTGCGTGCGTGAGTGTGTGCGTGCATGTGTGTGTGCACGTGTGTGTACGCACGTGTGTGTACTTTACCAAGCAGAATGATAAGCACAGGAAGATGCACGATACTCACATGCAACCACGAAACCTAGTCAGGTCATTGTTTGGCTTCTCACACTCGATTACACTGGTGAACGTCAAAGGATTGAATTCGGAGACCTAAAATAACAGCACGTACACATTAGAGAAATCCGGTATAAGGCTGCTCAGTTCCAAAAGGCACTTTTATTCTTTCAGTCTTGCGTCCATGGCTGGGAAATCTCATGCTTGAACTCTGCTTAAGAAATCTCTGCAGAATGTCAATGAACACATGCACTTAACCCATGCTTTCTCATTTTTATAATGAATAATAACTCATCATTTTAACCAACCATTTAGTAGATCAGTACTGGTTAATAAGTGAGCCAAGATGATTATGGCTTTAATGCAAAAAAAGAGAATTTCAGAGCACAGCAAAGAAAACCACCAACGATGAAAAGGGATAAATGAGTTGATTTTTTTTTTTTTCGTTTTTCAAGACAGGTCAGCGCTTTCCAAGTTTCTATATATATTTAAGGAAGCAAATTCTATCTGAAAAACAGGAACTCATACTAAAATTCCATTTCCTCAATGTATACTAAAAAATCTTCATGGACCTTTGCTGACATAGATTTAAAGAGCCAATGTGTGAACCAACAGTTCCTTTATTATTCTTCTGCATTTAAAAAAAAAAAAAGACCATTTGCTAGGTAGATGTGCTGGTACACAACTGTGATTCTAACTACACAGGAGGCTGAGGTAGGAGGATCATAAATTGGAGGCCAGCCTTGTCTTATAATTAAAAAAAAAAAAAGAGCTGTGGAGGGGTTTCAATGGTAGAACCCTTTTCTATCTGTATGAGACCCTGAGTTCTATCCCCAGTACTATCCCACCCACACCAAATGACAATTAACTACAAAGAAAATTTTTTAATGTGGAGTTTGCAACTGATAGATGTGAAGAGATCAAAAGTGGAAGGAGGGAAGGGAGGAAGAAAGGAGAGAAATATAGGGAAGGAGTCTTTAGTATAAATAACTTGAGTGTAATTAATGGATTTATTTTTATTAGCCCTCTGGTCAGGCTGTCATAATGTTTTCTCTATCAAGTGTCACATTGTGGTAAAAAAAGGAACTATCTTTGCTCACACAAGCATATCATCAGAAAGAAATTGCCAGGGGCTAACAATCACAGAAAGGATATAAACACTGTTGATATCACTCTAGATAATTATTATTCTACTATGACAGTGCATTTTTTCTGCATAGAATACAGCCATAAAGGTAATAATTCAAAACTTACGTAGTACTGTTTTCCAATGTATGTGCATTAAAATGAGGACTCCCCAGGTAATAGTAGCTCAGTGCAATAACTGCAATGCTATTTTATTATTTGTCTACTTTGCAGTGCTGGGAGTGAAGCCCAGGGCCTTGCACATGTGAGCAAGCTCTCTACCACTGGGCCATGTCCCCGACACACAAAATGCTATTTTAAAAGGCTCTTAAAGTTTCATTAGCCATCGGTCCCTTTCTTTGGACTGAAATGGCCTTGCATTCTGTTTGCAGAGAGAGGCTGTTTCAGAGTCCTGTGTTTATTTAAAGCTGTGTGAATTATCTGGACACTAGTGGACTGATTTTTACAGGGCAGACATTTGCAGATGCAGAGTACAAGATGGCCATGAAGGGAGTGGGCTCCAGAGAACACTAGGGTTATTCTTGGCAGACTAGGAGGGTAGGACTTAAAATATTCTGTCTCTGTTTATTATTCTTTCTCTCTAAGAAAAAATGTAATGTACACGGCTCAGAAACAGAAGGACATTCTGTCTCTGGGACTTTCAGAGCCGCATTTGTAATGTTCTGCTACAATCATGTGACTCAGAAGCACACATGGCCAGGGCATGGTCCGGGCCTTGGCTTCATCTGGAATTGCCAAGAATTTGGAGGATTGTTAGAGCTGGAGAGAACTTCAGAGACTGCTAGGCTCAAGCAAACTCCCCTTACCTCCAAAATTCATATGTTGAAGTCCTTACCTCAGTACCTCAGAAAGAGCCTCTAATTGTAAAGACCCCTTTCTGGTAGTAATTTAAGCTAAAGTGAGATCATGAGAGTGGCTCTAATCCATCAGGACTGGTGTCCTTATAAGCAGAAGAGAATAGGATACAAACACGCAGAGGGATGACCATGTGAAGACCCAGGAAAATGACCCTCCACAGGGAGGAGATGAGCCAATAAGCGAGATCTCAGAAGAACCAACCCTGCTGACACCTTGAACTTGGATTTCGAGCTTCTGAAATCATGAGATAATGAATATTTAATGTCTAAGCTGCCCTGTCCGTTGCAACCCTAGCAAACTAATACAGGGATCATCCTTGAGTTTCTCATTTAAAAAAGCATTTCATATCCAAAGCACACATTTTAGATAAGGAAACTTCTATTAACACCGAGTTTTCCCTCACTATAGGCAATATGGTAACACTCCTTCATTTAAGAAGTATACTTATTGATTGTTCCATCCACCTGCCACATTCCAAATCAGCTTCAAGGTCATGCCCTGGTTATTCATCAGCCAAACTTTTGTCAACACTGCTCCCTATCCCACCCTACAGCCTGGACCCCAGTCTAGTCTTCTGTGGTAAACCCACTAGCTTCATTTCTTTAAAAAAAAAAAAAAAAGAATAGGTGTAGAGTTGGGGAAGATCAAAACATTCTTGAGATGTCTTGTGGTAATGGCTCCAAACTGTGTGAATGAACTTGATGCCACTGATCTATACACTTAAAAATGGTTAACATGGTATATTTTATGTGCATTTTCTACAATAAAAGAATATGAAAAGCAGATGTAAACAAACATTGAGAACTGATTATGAGAAATGAATTAATGATTAAGTAGAACATAGCCCAGAATTCTGGGACATTTTAGCACAAATATTAAAAAAAAGTCTCACACGTAAATCATTCTTCTTGTTGTTTCCTTTCTTTCTTTCTCCTCCCCTCCCCGAGTTTGAACCCAGGGCCTCACACATGCTAACCATGTGATCTACCATGGAGCTAAAGCCCCCAGCCTGCATAAGTAATTCTTTTTTTTTTTTTTTTAAGAGAATGTAATGTAATGTACATGGCTCAGAAACAGAGAGAGAGGGAGAGAGAATTTATTTATTTATTTTAAATTTTATTTTAGTTTTCAGTGGACACAACATCTTTTATTTTATTCTTATGTGGTGCTGAGGATCAAACCCAGCGCCCCGCACATGCCAGGCGAGCGTGCTACCACTTGAGCCACATCCCCAGCCCAACATAAGTGATTCTTAAGGTCACCACTGTAATATATCATTGTCATCATCATCAAGACAGTTAAGAGGGACTGGGGCTGTAGCTCAGTGGTAGAGCACTTGCCTAGCATGTGTGAGGTACTGGGTTTAATCCTCAGCAACATAAATAAATAAATAGATGGATAGATAAATAAATAGATAAATAAATAAATATAGATAGATATAAATAAATAAATAATATATATTTTTAAAAGACAGTTAAGAGTTTTTGATGCCTTGCTAAATAGCAGGCATTGTGCTATGTGTGATGCTACTATCTTACAACACTGTTATGAGATTGGTTTTTGCACTACTGATCATTTAGGATCATTAAGAACCATGCCCAAGGCCATGGCAACCTTCAAGTGACTGCCTTAAAGCTTCTCTGGCCTCTGATATATCCAGCTCAGTGGGCTGATGATCACTGAGACGATCTTGGTTCCACAGGAAAAGATTATGGCACATCAAATAAGCCAAAAAGTGTTCAAGGGATTTTATAGACATTTCCCCCCCAAATTTAAAATGTACCTTAATGTTTTAATGTATTCAAAAATATGTTTCAGTTAAATGTATCCTGGTCCAATTGTTGCTACTCTCTTCCCATATTCATTAATGCCTGTGGTGAAGGGTTAACAAAGCTTACCCAAAATTTGAGTAAAAAATCATCAGTGCTGAGAGATTTAGTTCTGGTTGTTCTGTTTATTAAGTATGAGACTTTAAACAAAAACAGAGAGAGAGAGAGAGAGAGAGAGAGAGAGAGAGAGAGAGAGAGGGAGGGAGGGAGGGAGGAGGGGGCATTTGGAGTTGGATTCCCAATGCCTTTGTAATCCTACAAATCCACAAGCCTCTCTGATGTGAGGTGGTGTTTGTGATGGCTCACTACAGCAGAGGCAGCATTACCCACAAGAATGCTGCTCATGCATGCAGGCTCAAATCAAAGCTACTGCCCTCTGCAGCTCAGCCACAGCACACCAAGTATCCAGGACTACATGCAGCTGAGGACATGAAGACTCACACAATGCAAAGCAAACAGGTTCAAATAAGTGCTTCACTCGTAATACAATGCTTGCAGTTTCTGCTGCTCTCCTCTGAAGCGCCTTTGGATAAATGTATTTATGCTGACCTTATGAGGCAGAATGGAAGAGGCAAGGTGGTGATACAGCAGCAAGTCTTCCAGCTCTGCACTGAACTTGCAATTCTGCTAAAAATTGAAACAGCCTGGAGAGTTGAGTCACTAAAGTGGACCCAAGGATATCCCGAACCCTGAAGCAGGCTTCCTCTTGATGCTCCATAGTTCCTCCAGGTAGAAAAGGTATCTGGACAGTTGCTGTGTCCCCTGTTCAATCACATGAGGATATACAAGTATAATTCAGCAGTACCTAGACTATTAGTTGGGTGAATGCTAGATTCATAGGGAAGATTCTATCACTAACACTACATAGTCAGGCCCTCTGCATCTAGATTCAAACCATCTTAGATTCAGCCATCAGAGGACCAAAAATATTCAGAAAAAAATAATGCGCCTATACTGAACATGTACAAAATGTTTTCTTGTTATTATTCCTTTAAAATAGAATTAGGTCTTATAAATCATCTAGGAAAAATTTAAAGTACATGGAAAGATATGCATAGGTTATATGCAAATACCACCCCATTTTATAAGTGGAAGTTAAGCATGTGCAGACTTTGGTATCCTCGGGATGTGGGTGAGGAGATCTTGAAGCCAATTCCCAGTAGATACTGAAGGAAGACTATATTTCACATTTGCATTCATTCAATTCTTAATATTTATCCAATAAAAGCAAAAGTGACTTTTTCTATCTTAAAACAGAAGCAGTAATATCCAAAAGTAATGCCCATTAAAGCAGATACTATTATTTTTTCTACCATTGAAGAAGTAAAGTAAGCCAGTTTACCTGGCTTCAACTTAGGAGGTAAGCAGGTGGCAAAAGTGTGCACTTGAGGCATCTGCAGGTGCACTGGCATCAGGGACCTGGCCAAACTCTCCAGATACTTCCTAATGAGATTGTCCTAGCCTCTGCATGACCTGGGCACTGAGGAGTCTGGTGGGAAACTGCACAGAGTACAGCAGCAGCATGTAGCTCAGTTGCTCCGGCAGGTTGGGAAGGGTCACTGCCAGGCATTCACAAGGAGACAAGGAAAACATACCTGTTCCTCTGTCCCTACATCTGGACCTTGTTCTAAAGACGCCCTTTGTACCACCAGTCATGATATTCCTGGCTACAAAGATCTCCAGGACCCTCCTCTACCTCCAGCCTTAACATCGCCTCCAGTTATCAGCCATAGAAGATTCTCTGGCGCAGAAGCACAATTCCTCAACCTGCCCTTTTGGGTTAGATCTCGCCACTTGTTGCAGGTCTGTCTTGGAACCAAGTGATCATGGCCCCAACACAAAAGTCCAAACTTCTCTGGGTGTGGCTGGGGCTAACTCTCATTCTTAAGCCTTTCCTAGATGAAAGGTCCCCTGAGACCAGCTCACAGCCTGGCACACACGTGGTCATGGGTGACCAATGTTTACTCTGGAAGGATCCCATGTACCACACACTTCTGAATTGTTACAGAGCTCTGTGCTGGGTTCTTGGGGGCCTATGCCCCTGCTTACAGCTTGATCCACAGTCAGGAGCCCCCTCACTTGATGCTAGGGAGTGGGGGAATTTGCCAAGAGAGCCTAGGAGGTGTTCTCTGATGTTCTAGAAAGTATAGTTTCTCTTTTACAAGTGCAAGCACATTTCTTTTGATAGCAATACAATATGATTTCTTCACAGACTTTAATCTAATTATTTATTGGCAATGGGTGAAGAATACCTGAACTATTTAGGCAAATCATTTTAACACACATTAATGAAATAATTACCCCAACTCTTTTGTTTTGTACTTTCAATCTACTTTCTATCTACCACGTGCCTGTGTGTGTTGTGGGAATTTAAAGGACGGCAGACAGAGTGARTGAATAAATGCACAAATTTACTTATTCCTTGTTAAGATTATACTGTCAAAACAACATTTTTCAACTTGTTAACTTGAAAAAGCAAATAGACTGTCCTGTCAACTGCAGGGTCCCATGGCCCATAGAAGATGCTGGATCCTATTTATTAAATAAACAAATGCCCCAATAAAGCCATAGACATTCTTGTGCTCATAGAATAATATGGCAAACATATAAGAATACTTAAAGCAACCATTTTTCCAATCAGTTTCACAGACTCAGTGTTTATATTAGCACTTTGTGCTCTGACACAAATACTGAATACAAACAATTTTTTAAAAAATATTTAAATAATGATTTAATCTCCAATGGTAGAAGTTGTGATTGCAACATTTAAGGCACCCTAAATAAAGATATGCAGAAGCCAGGTGGGTATGGCAGTCCATGACAAAGCTCTTGACTGCTTGTAAGTGATATATTCGTGACACTATCTGCAAGTCATACCCCTTCTTGATATCGTCAGTGTCTCCAGGGTAACAAAGCTGACAGGGATGATGAAGATGGCATCCGGACCTTCACAGTCCTTCCACAGAAGGACTTCACATCTCCTCACAGCTCAGGGAGCTTCTGGAAAGCACAACACCTTTGGCAGCTCTTGGAGAAATGGACCAAAGGGTGTCTGGGTTGCTGCCTTCTTTTTCTAAATGCAAATTTCCCTGTCATAAGCACAAGCATTAGAGATCAAGTGGTCTTTTCTTTGTTTGAGAATAGAAAGCCAACTTTTCCCTCCGTGAGTCTGACTCGAGAACACCGGGGCCAGCCCTCCCTCCCTTCTCTACCCTTTCATCCTTTGTTCCCTTGCCTCCTTGCTGTTTCACAGCCAAAAAGCCTCTAAGCTTTCCTTTAGATGGTGGCAAAATTCAAAGGCTCAGAATACTGGGCTTGAGCCTGAATTCTCAAAATCAAAAGCTTTCCTTTCCCTCCTGGCCATAAATGCTTTGTGCTGCCTTAGTGGGCTGTGGTTGTCAGCAGAGCCCCATGATTTCTTTTATCAACGTGCATAAGAGTATCAAGGACTGGCTTGCATTCAGACAGTAAGTAATGAGAGTTATTTTACAGAATACCCAAATGAGGGCTATTCTTTAAAATAGCCCTCCTTGAAAGAATATATACTTATTCCAATATGGTGGCACTGCATGAAGCACATCTGCAGCAACAATGCTGAGCTCATCTGCACAGCAAGGGTAGAAGTCAGCTTGTCTGCTTCACAGCCACAGGCCACTTTGTGCCTCTTCCATCACGACAGGTGGGACTGATGGCGTCAGCACAGACAGGCTGCAGGGTGTGAACCTACCATGATTCAGAGATCACTGAGCAGACAGCCTAGTTACAGAAAAGGTRCCCTGCCCGTTGGCAACAGAAGGGACCTGGACACTTACATGTAAAGATAATAAAGTAGACCCTAGGGGCTGAGTCTCATCGACTACAGGGCCATTGGTAACCTCTCAGGAGAGGTTAGAAAAAGGAGGACAGCCGTGAAGCTCTTACACTAACCTGCAGAATGACTCCAAGGCTATACTGGCAGAAGGAATATGAAATTCGAAAGCACAACTGGACTAGCTCATTCATCAGATTCAAAATAAAATTGGTCCCGCAAGGAAGGACTGGGGAATTTGGACCAAACCTCCAACTGCAGGCAAACAGAGATCCTGGATAGAATAATACAAATCCTTGCCTGAAGATATCAGAGATTTAACAAGAATGTGAAGGAAAATCAAGCCAAGATCTAGAAAAGACAAAAAATCCAGAGTTTAGGACTGGTTTTCGGAGGCTCTTTACCCTGTAGGGGAGTGCCCAAATTCTGAGTGAGAAACGGAAGAAAACTGGTGAGACAAATGTTGTAGTTCAGGTCACGTATTTACTTTCTCCTGCTGCTGTAAGAAATTACCACAAACAAGGTGGCTTTGAAAACACAAATTTATAATTTCATAGTTCTAAAAGCTGGAAGTGGGTCTCATGAAGATAAAGTCAAGGAGAGAGCAGGACTGTGATCCTTGAGGAGGCACTAGGAGAACTCATTTGAATGGCTGCCTGCTATCTTTGATGTATGGCCTCCTTCTATTTCCAAAGTCAGCCATGAGGAGACAGAGTCCTCATGCTGTACCACTTTGAGAATGTACCGACTTCCCCTTTTACTTACGAGGCTCTTTGTGATCAAACTGAATCCATCTGGGTAATTCAGGATGATCTCCCCATCTCAGTGACAGCCTGAAGTGGTTAATTTAACTTGCAACCTCAATTTCCACCTGGCTAGGCAACATAACATATTCAAAGACTCAGAGTATTTGGTTTCTGCCTGCCATAGGGCCTACCAAGAGAGGGGCCTGATAAACATCTTTGCTTTTTTAACAGGGCCATAAAGAACTGGACCCCAGAGAAATACTGAACTGGAAGAAAGAGTTCCAATGTGGAACTTAATCCAACATGGTGCTGCTGCATGAAATAATGTCTTCCACTCTTACCGAACGAATTTTCTTCAAACTGCTACTTAACCAGTTTAGAGTCAGTTGGGTGGCCCAGAAAATCTCAATCCTAAAATTAGATTATAGTGATTCCACACTGTCAGAACCCCCAGATTGCTAGAACAGTCAGATACTGAACAAAGAAAGTCCTCTCTCTCCCTCTGTGTATGGGTAACCCATGGTCTCAAAATATTTGTAAAAATCCAATTTCCAGACACATACTCAAAAATAACCAGACATACGATAAAGCATCATGAAATAAGAACCAACAAAAATAAGGATAGGAATAAGCGCATAGGATATTAAAATTGCCATGGTTGCTATGATCACAAAGCTGAAGAAGAGTGAAATCTTGGAAGAGCTAGAAACTAAAATGTGGCTTAACAAACTTGAAAAAAAAAGTCAAGAGTCAAACAAATTCCAGTTAAAAGCTCAATGAATGGTTTATCAGTAGATTTGGCAAATATAAAGAGAAAAATTAGTAAGTAAATTACAAGAAATCACAGAAAAAAAAATTTAGAACAAGGCTGGGGTTGTGGCTCAGTGGTGGAGCACTTGCCTGGCATGTGTGAGGCACTGGGTTCGATTCTCAGCACCAAGTGTAAATAAAAGAATAAAAATAAAGATACAACAACAATATATTATACACACACACATACATGTATGTATGTGTGTGTGCGTGTGTGTGTATATATATGTATATATATATATATATATATATATATTTATACACATATATAAATTTTTTAATAATTTAGAACAAAGCATGAGAAACTAGAGGATGGGAAGTAAAGAACAGAGTAAAAGACTAGAGGACAGAGACAAATCTCACATGCTTATAAACTGAAGAGAAATATGCAGGAGGAATACTGGAAGAAATAATAGCTGAGAATTTATTAAGTTTGATTACAAAGCAACAAACAACAGATTTAATAACCTTAAAGAAAGATAAATAAAGGGAGATCATATCTAGGTACATGCACTAGAATGCTGAAAGTCAGCCAGAAGCAGTGGTATACACCTGCAGTCTCGGCACTAGAGAGAGTGAGGCAGGAGGATGGATTGAGCTTGGAGTTCAAGACCAACCTGGACAACATAGAGAACCCTGTTTCAAAAAATAAATACATAAATAACTGGGCACAGCGGTGCACTCTGGACACCCCTTTTATTTTTAAAAGACCTTTGTTTTGTCCAGGAAGAGGATAAAAGTCAATACACACTGAAGACTGATAAGTCAGGGATACATGCTGTAATCTCTAGTGTAGCCACTAAAATAATCGCAAAGGGACATATAATTTCCAAACCAATGAAGAAAGAATGATAAATTATCAATCTCAAAGAGGGTGAAAATGGAAGGAAAAGGAAGTCAAGTCAAGCAGGATAAATAAAAGTTGGATGTTCTCCACACAAAACTATCAGCAATGAATTTAAAAACTGACCAAGTGAAATTTTTTCATGAAAAGACAAAGATTGTGAGACTGGGGGCTGGGGATATAGCTCAGTTGGCAGATTGCCTGCCTTGCATGCACAAGGCCCTGGGTTCAATTCCCAGCAATACACACACACACACACACACACACACACACACACACACACACCACACGCACAGACTGTGAGACTGACGCCCCTCCCCCCCAAAAAAAAACCCTCAACAATATGTTTATAAGAAATAACACCAGAGAGAGGATCCAAGATGGCGGAATAGAGGAGGTACTGTTTCTGGCTGCTCTGTGGAATTAAACCAAGAAAGCAGTCAGGAGGCATCTCCACAGGGTCTCACCTAGACGGAATACAACATCTCAGAGCATGGGACAGGATCCCTATACAGTGGATTTTCACAGAAATCACCAGAGCTGCAACCACCTGCGCAGAAATCAGAGCCTCTGAATTCCAGTAAGACTCGGGACTCCAAACCAAAGCCCGCAGTTTTAGCACATACAAGATGCTTCAGCAAAGCAGAATCACCTAATCAGCTCCCCCCACCTCACCAGACCAACTCCATCTTGGAAAACCTTTCTCACCATTTTTGGTGGGCGTGGCTATCAGCGCGGATCTCCATTGGAACAGGAACCTGGTTTCCAACTTCCTCCCACTCCCCCCCACCCCCCACCCCACAGCTCCGAGAGGTCCCGCAGTTGGGACCTAATAAGCAACAGAGGGGAGTGGTCTAAAACCAGGAGCAAAACAGAGAGGCCAGCTCCAGGTAGGAGAGGGAGACCATACCGGGGCTCTTCCTCGCCCTGGTTACCTACACCACCCTGAGGACAGAGACTCCACCTTAAAATAGACAACTCCACCTACTGGAAGAGAAGAAAAGCCGGAAGGAAATGGAATTCTAAGGGTATTTTTTTTCCTTCTTATCCTTCTTCTTGCTCATCTACCGTTCTATGCTGTAGCCCTCACAACCCCAACATGTGTAAAACCAAGAACTTTACATAAAATAGAACTTTGAGAACTGAGTCACCTGAATAATATAATATAGAGGAATTGCATAAGCCCCCTTTTTTTCTCTCTCTTTCTTTCTGCCCTTTTTCCTCTTCTCTTTCCTCTTCTTTCACCCTCCAAATTTTACTATTTTAACATCCTGTAATTTTCTAAATACATATGTGTGTTTGTTTTTATGTACTCTTCTGTCTTCCCACTTACTTGTCTACCCTAAATTACCTCCTGTCTATTCCCCTGCTACTAACCCTCTTCATTAGAGTTCTCCTTCAAATKTCCTAAGTTATAGTAATCCCATACCCTCACCTCTTTCCCTCTTAGCATATCATCCTACACCTGACCCCCAGGTCACTGTCTGCCACCAGAAACTGTACACCTTTTATGAAATTACTAACTATATTCTAAATAATAATTAAATCCAACATTTCTGGACATTGAGACTAACTAAAAAATGTCTTAATAACAATAATTTGTCCATAGATGATGTACTGTTGATATCAGGATCTGTTAACAATGTCCTTCCCCACAGAGGAGGGATCTTGGAACCAAGATCAATACAAAAGCACTAAAAATCTATAGGGTAAAAACAATAACACACCAGTCACACAGAGCTGAAAAGAAAGAAACTAGAGCAACATGAAAAGACAAAGGAAGAAAGTACCAAAAACAAATCAAGACAACACATCAGTAGAAGAATTGACAGGAAAAGCAGAAAAAAAATGACAGAGAAAAATTTTAGGATATACATGATTTAAATGCTTTGGGATCTCAAAGAAGACATAAGAGAACAAATACAGGCAGTGAAAGATCACTTCAACAATGAGCTACATGATAAACAAATCCAAGAAGCAAAATATCACCTCAACAGGGAGATAGAGGTTATACAAACAAACAGAAATCCTTGAATTGAAAGAAATAATAAATCAAATTAAAAACTCCAACGAGAGCTTCACCAACAGAATAGACCACTTGAAAAGGACATAGACAACACAGCAAAAATGATAAGAAACCACAGCAGAACATTCAAGAAGTATGGGATAGCATAAAAAGACCAAATTTAAGAGTTATTGGGATGGAGGAAGGCATGGAGATCCAAACCAAAGGAACGAGCAATCTGTTCAATGAAAGAATATCAGAAAACTTTCCAGACGTGAAGAATGAAATGAAAAATCCAAATCCAAGAAGCCTACAGGATGCCGAATGTGCAAAAATCACAACAGATCCACACCAAGACACATTATAATGAAAATGTCCAACATACAGAATAAGGAGAGAATTTTGAAAGCCACAAGAGAAAGGAATCAGATCACATATAGGGATAAACCAATTATGGCAGATTTTTCAACACAGACCCTGAAAGCTAGAAGATCCTGGAACAACAACATATTTCAAGCTCTGAAAAATAATGGGTGCCAACCAAAAATCTTGGATCCATCAAAATTAAGCTTCAGATTTGAAGATAAAATAAAAACCTTCCACGATAAACAAAAGTTAAAAGAATTTATAGCTAAGTAACCAGCATTACAAAACATCCTTGGCAAAATATTTCATAAAGAGGAAATGAAAAACAACAATGAAAACCAGCAGATGGAGGTAGTACACTACAGGAAAAACTAATCAAAGAGGAAAACCAAGTCAAGTTAAATGACAAAAATAAACAAATATGGCTGGAAGACATGGAAGACATGGAATGAACAATGGGTTACAGAAGACATCAAAAAAAGGAGATTTAAAAATTCTTAGAGGTTAAGACACAACATATCAAAATCTCTGGGATACTATGAAAGCAGTAGTAAGAGGAAAATTCACTGCATGGAGTTCATTCCTTTAAAGAATAAAAAGTCAACTAATAAATGAACTCATACTACATCTCAAAGCCCTAGGGAAAAAAGAATAAATCAGCAGCAAAAGCAGTAGAAGGCAAGATATAATTAAAATTAGAGCGGAAATAAACAAATATGGCTGGAAGACATGGAAGGCATCGACAAATTTCTTAAGTCATATGATCTTCCCAGGTTGAATTAGGAAGATAGACACAACTTAAACAGACTAATATCAAGTGAGGAAATAGAAGAAGCCATCAAAAGACTACCAACCAAGAAAAGCCCAGGATCGCATGGATACACAGCTGAGTTCTACAAGACCTTTAAAGAGGAACTAATACCAATACTCTTCAATTTATTTCAGAAAATAGAAAAAGAGGGAGCACTTCCAAACTCATTCTATGAGGCCAGTATCAACCAGATTGATTCCAAAACCAGACAAAGACACTTCAAWGAAAGAAAACATCAGGCCAATATCTCTAATGAACATAGATGCAAAAATTCTCAATAAAATTTTGGAAAATTGTATACAAAAAACATATCAAAAAGATTGTGCACCATGATCAAGTGGGATTCATCCCAGGGATACATGGTTGGTTCAACATTTGGAACAAGACACGGATGCCCTCTTTCACCACTTCTATTCAACATAGTTCTTGAGACACTGGCCAGAGCAATTAGACAGATGAAAGAAATTAAAGGAATATGTATAGGAAAAGAAGAACTTAAATTAGCTCTATTTGCTGACGATATGATTCTATACCTAGAAGACCCAGAAAACTCCACCGGAAAACTTCTAGAAGTAGTAAAGGAATTCAGCAAAGTAGCAGGATATAAAATCAACACCCATAAATCAAATGCATTTCTGTATATCAGTGATAAATCATCTGAGAAGGAAATGAGGAAAACTACCCCATTCACAATATCCTCAAAAAATAAGATACTTGGGAATCAACTTAATAAAAGAGGTAAAAGATCTATACAATGAAAACTACAGAACCCTAAAGGAAAAAAAAATCAAAGAAGACCTTAGAAGATGCAAAAAAATCAAAGAAGACCTTAGAAGATGCAAAGATGTACCTTGCTCTTGGATAGGCAGAATTAATATTATCAAAATGACCATACTACCAAATGCACTCTACAGATTTAATGCAATAACAATCAAAATCCCAATGGAATTCCTCATAGAAATAGAAAAGGCAATCATGAAATTCATCTGGGAAAAATAAGAGACCCAGAATAGCTAAAGAAATCCTAAGCAGGAAGAGTGAAGTAGGTGGTATTGCTAAACCAGACCTTAAACTATACTACAGAGCAATAGTATCAAAAACAGCATAGTATTGGCACCAAAACAGGCCAGTAGACCAATGGTACAGAATAGAGGACACAGAGACTAACCCACAATATTACAAAAAATTATCTTATATTACAAATTATCTTATAATACAAAAAAATTATCTTATATTAGACAAAGGTGCCAAAACATGCACTGGAGAAAAGATAGCATCTTCAACAAATGGTGCTGGGAAAACTGGAAATCCATATGCAACAAAATGAAATTAAACCCCTATCTCTCACCATGTACAAAACTCAACTCAAAGTGGATCAAGGACCTAGGAGTTAAACCAGAGATTTTGTGTCTAATAGAAGAAAAAGCAGGCCCTAATCTTTATCACGTGGGTTTAGGCTCCAACTTCCTTAATAAGACTCCTATAGCGCAATAATTAAAACCAAGAATCAATAAATAGGATGGAATCAAAGTAAAAAGTTTCTTTTTAGCAAAAGAAATAATCTGTGAGGTGAACAGAGAGCCTACATCCTGGGAGCAAAGTTTTACCCCTCACACATCAGATAGAGCACTAATCTCTAGGATATATAAAGAACTTAAAAAGCTAAACACCGAAAAAACAAATAACCCAATCAACAAATGGGCTAAGGACCTGAACAGACACTTCTCAGAAGAGGATATTCAATCAGTCAACAAATATATGAAAAAATTCTCATCATCTCTAGCAATCACAGAAATGCAAATCAAAACTACTCTAATGTATTATCTCACTCCAGTCAGAAAGGCAGCTATTATGAAGACAAAAATAAGTGTTGGCGAGGATGTGGGAGAAAAGGTACACTCATACAGAGCTGGTGAGACTGAAAATTGGTGCAGCCAATTTGGAAAGCAGTATGGAGATTCCCTGGAAAACTGGGAATGGACCCAGCTATTCCTCTCCTGGGACTATAATACACTAAGGACTTAAAAACAGCATACTACAGGGACACAGCCACATCAATGTTTATAGCAGCACAAAATTCACAATAGCTAAACTGTGGAGCCAACYTAGATGCCCTTCAGTGGATGAATGGATAAAAAAAAGTGGCAAATATACACAATGGAATTTTACTCAGAATTAAAAAAGAACAAAAGCATGGCATTTGCAGGTAAATGGATGGCTTTGGAGAAGATAATGCTAAGTGAAGTTAGCCAATCCCAAAAAAACAAATGCGGAATGTTTTCTGATATAAGGAGGTTGACTCATTGTGGGGTAGGGAGGGAGAACATGAGAGCTATAGATGAATTCTAGATAGGGAAGTAGGGTGGGAGAGAAAGGGAGGGGGTGGGGGATTAGCAAGGATGGTGGATTGTGATGCACATCATTATCCAAAGTACATGTATGAAGACTTGAATTGGGTATATACTTTCTATACAAACAGAGATACAAAAATTGTGGTATATATGTGTATTAAGAATTGTAATGCAAAAAATAAAAAAACAAAGTACATGTATAAAGGCATAAATTGGCATGAACATACTTATATACAGAGGTATGAAAAATTGTGTCCTATATGTGTAATAAGAATTGTAATGCTTTCCACTGCTGT